TGTGAAAAAGAATTTGAATGCGGACATTACTTGCCATTAATATCAGTTTATATTATGGGCCAGTTTTTGCGTCCAGTGCTTCCCATTAGGTAAGTTTTTCTCACTCAAACATTTCACAGGAGTTACTGTTTATTAAAGATGTTATTTTAATTACAGCTGCGGTTCAAATAATAGCAGTAGGTCGACAAAAATTAAATGGGCAACGCTATTCCATCCAAGCGGAAAAATGCTTTTACATTTTTACATAAATATTTATCTACCAAGAAGTGATTGCAAAACACAATGCTTTTTAGGATATTTTAAGCATATTTAAGATTCAAATTTCAAATGTTTTTTAAATAAAACAAGAGAGAACCCTATAATCGGGTGCCCCGACTATCAGATACCCGTTACTCAGGTAAAGGGAGTGCGAGGGAGATGGAGATAGAAACTTTGATCACGCATAACTTTTTAACGAATGGTCCGATTTGAAAAAGTTCTTCTACATTTCGATATGTATTGATAAACACAATAAAACTGCATTTTTACTTTTCCGAAATATTTAAATTTTTAAAATCGTATATAAACGATTGTGGGCGTTAAAGGGGGCGTGGCACCTTTTTGAAACAAACTTGCGCTGCGTAGGAACTCCTAGAATCTGCATGCAAAATGCCAATCTTCTAGCTTTTATAGTTTCCGAGATCTCAGCGTTCATACGGACAGACAGACGGACAGACAGACGGACAGACAGACGGACAGACGGACATGGCTATATCGACTCGGCTAGTGACCCTGATCAAGAATATATATACTTTATAGGGTCGGAAACGCTTCCTTCTAGCTGTTACATACTTTTGCACGAATACAATATACCCTTTTACTCTACGAGTAACGGGTATAAAAATGTGTAATTCCAAAACTGTTTTAAAAAAATTGTTATACTCATTTTAAAATCAATGTATTTTTTTGAGTCATGTGAATATTTTCAAGTAACTTTTTCAGTGTAAAAGCAATGTTACAAACATTCCCGCATTGCACTTGCCTTAGTTTTAGTTCCAACTCGAGTTTTGATTTACGCACTGCATAACGCATTTTTGAAATCATGAACGAAGTCTGGGGAATGAAATGGGTAAAACTTTTCCGAAGCATCTTTGACCATTTCCCCATGCCCCGCCGTCCATGGACTCCCCCTTTTCGGCCCGATAAATTCAAAGTCCGGCAGCAGCTGGGCGCTTCCGGCGCAGCATTAATGAGGGGGTGAGGCTGGTAGAAGGGGCTGGGAAAGGGGGAAGCGGGAGACATGTAAGTAGAAATGAAAACGAAGCACAATGAGAACATCCGGCCTTGTTATAGGAGGACGGTGAAGGGGGGAAAATAGCGATAGGGGTAAGCCTGCACTCTGAAAAACAACACAGAAGTCCATCTCCGTTAGTCAAAGACAAAACGGCTTAAATCGTTAAAGAACATTGTCTTAACCCACTGCTAATATTGAGTTCTTTAAATTTGTTCCTAAATACATCAAACATTTTCTCCCAAAAGAGTATAATTTCATATCATTTAAAAAAACATTTGTTTTTGTTGTGTAGATAATGGTTGTTTATAAATTCATATAAATTATTTAAAACCAATTTCAGTACGCGCTTTCCTTTTATATTACATTTTTTTTAGCTTATGTTATGATTCTAAATGATTATAAACTGATATTAAAAATCATTAGTAGCCATTTATCCTGAAATAACTGTACTTTAATAATTTCTAGATTTTGGAAATTATATTGCCTGCAATTCGTTATCCGCAGATGAGGATTTAATAGCAGTGCAGTTAGGGGTTAGGTGAGCCAGACAAACGGGCAGCATTTTGGCCCCCGCCCCAGAAAGCCCCCCATTCTCAGGCCATTAAGAAATTTCAAATTCTTGAAAAATTAGCAGTGCAACAAGAAATGAAGAAACCGAACCGAAACGGAGCGGAGCGAAGAAGAAAGCGAAACCAGGCGAACTCTTCTCGAGAATAATTAATGGAATTTTTGAACTTTTAGTGCAAAATGCCTGGGAGACAACTGCTTGAACAGCATTTTCATTGATGCTCCTGGCTGCATGTGCCACAAATAAATTTGTCGTCGACTCTGGCAGATTGTTGCAACTGCCGCCCCTGGTAGCCCCCCAAAAAATACCAGCCGTTGTGAATGAAAATAGAGCAATTTGCATTATTCGCATTCGAGCAGATTTCGCTTTAATGAATTGCACACAACTTGCCAAGAAATAAAGATGAGCACAAAGTACGGAATGGTAAATGCGATACGTCTGCATCTGTCTGACTTGGCACTTTGTCTACAGGGGCTGGGGTGCATACATAGTAACCCCGTAGCTCACCATAGAGATACACGAGTATCACCTCCCCCTGGAGATCCCAAATGCAGTCCCAGTCTGATATTGGGATTGGGGTGTCTGTGTCGCCACAATCGGAATTCGCTCATCTCCATCAAAGTTAATGTGAAATATCATTTGCATTCGGTCCGTGCAGATCGCCAACTGAAAAACCCATCAACAGCTGTGTGTCTGATTCGCAATATTTCGTTGTCAAAAAGAACAAGGGAAAAATAAAGCGTGAGAGGACGAATTTTGGAATGCCCTTGCAAACTGTCAATTATATCCTTAAAAATCATAGAATCTACTATTCGAAATAAAGTACTTCTAAAAGTATGTTTTTAATATTAGCATTTTTTGAGTTGTGCAAAAAAATGTCTAAAGGATTATGAAACATCCAAGAAGGATGTTGGTCACATAACATAGTTTATTCAAATTACAAGTATTTTAAAAAACCCTCGAGTCATTGCAGTTCTTTTTGAATGGATTAGCGTTCTTGGTGGTTAGGATTTTAATAAATTAAGGTACCCAGAAGTACCTTCCGTAATTCATATGATTCTCTCAAAATTCTTTAACTGATTCAGAATGTATATCCTTTTACAGAACCCCAAAGCTCAAACACAATATTTTGAGCAGGTTTGCGCTAGAGATTTCAGTGACACCCCCTGTATATCTCGTAATTCGATCTGGTGAATAAAATCAAAATCACTTCCCTGGTTGTCTGAATTATAATGCCCACTTCAAGGGTAACTGAATAACTGAAAAAGCAAAAGCGAACAAACGGGCCATAACTCATGTCGGCATGTTCATTAAATGTGCTACGTTTGTCCAGCAACTGGCAGTGCCTACTGCCACATCTACATCCACTTCCACTGTAACTGCCACTGTGGAATGGGCCTCTGCGCCCACTGTCAAATGCACCGGCCTTCAAAAGGGGGTGGTGGCGTATTTTATTGTCTATGTGCGCATATGGTCAGCTCATTGTGCAGTCAGTTGTATTGCCATTATCATCTGCGACAGCCATCGTGCTCATCGTGCGGCGATTAATGCGCCCTTCATCCAGTCGCAGATACGTGTTACATCTATCACATATCACGTACAGACGAACCTCCATAACATAAGTCACCATCTGCTAGAAAAAAATTCGAGTTGTGAAGACTTCGGGTTAGGAAAAGATTTTCTATATTTTTTTAAATATATTTTTAGGCGACCAGTTGTTTTTATATTGTAAAGATTTCGTAAAGATATATATAAAACAAAAAAAAATAAAATTGTTTTTTATTTTTTTGAAACATTTTTGGAACGTTTCTTATTATTGTAGTTTTTTGACTTATAAAAAATAGTGTACAAAAATTAATGTTGTTCGAATTATAGAAGGGAAGTTCGAGTTAGTCAAGTTCAACTGTATAGCGAGGGGTGGGTGGATATGGGCTCGGTTCGTGGAAATCGCTGAAAATGTGTAAAACCGCGTCCCGTTTGCTGACATTTGTCCTCGGCGGCTGGCGAACTGCACATGTGGCAGTCCCCTTGGGGCCCAATGATATTAATGCTGGTGCTGGAAAGTACGTACAGCGAATAAAAAATAATGAAAACGAGCTGGGATTGATTTAAGCCAGCTAAAGAGACTGCATCAAAAACACATTCAACACTCAACATCCAATCCATTCCGCAGCATTATTGTGCAGAGGCGAGAACACTTCGCACTCGGTTGGATTATGTTTCGGGTGAAAGATAATGACTCCAAATATGTAAATATTAAAGGGCCCACTCGGAGAAACAGAAGCAAACATACATTAACTGATGTTTGCACAAGTATTAATGTCATATCATTTTTACAGTTTTTACACTTACCATCTTTTCTAATAATTTTTAGCTAAAACAAGTTTTTAAAGTAACAGATAAAAGATTGTAAGAAATTCTTTTAAAAATGTATGTAATTACAATATTATTTTTATTTTATTTCAGATTGTGAGAATTTTCAATCGAACGATTTTAAAAATTATTTAGCTAGTTAATTTTTGCCTAAAATCTTTAATAACAGAAGCATTTTTAGTTATTGATTTATAAAAACGACCTGAGAAAAGTTCTTAATCATTCTTCCTATTAGCCAATGAATATTGACATTAAGCCTGACCCAATTTTAAATATGTTTAAATAAATATTTAAATTTTAGTGTTACCAATGTTTCCAATTAATATGAAAGTGGCATTTGCTCTGCGGTCACACTTAATTGGCAATTGGAAAACAATACATTCGTATTGCACATTGTCGCGGGTTTTTGTTAAGAAAAATAATCACAAGCCTCTTTTAAAAACTTTTTATTGTCATATTATTCTCATTTTTTGGTAAAAATTTACTTTTACATATGCAATGTTACTTAAAATTTGTAATACGCATAATTTTTTACGACTTTCGTGAGTGATTTTCAAATGGCTTTGTGGCACCCTCTTAAAAATTAGTTTTGGTACACTGCTTTAGATCCATGTATGGCGGCAAAAACTTATAAATATAATAAAATGTTGCTTGGCGTTGGAATGAGATTAAAAAAAATATCTGATTGGAATATTATTCCAATGTTTAAAGTAATTATGATAGCAAACAAATCGTCGATATATCGAAATTATCGTAAGTGGTTTTATTGCCTTACCAGCGCACGGTCACACTGCAAAGCTGTCTTTACCACAACCAAATTAAAAAGGCTTCGCATTTTCAAAGCAATTAAAAAAAACGAGGAAAGTCAAAGGAAAAACGGATAGTTTTTGCATATCCTGCATAGTAAGTAACGGTAACTCCGCTGACGAAAGCCGTCCCTTTGAAAAAGTGAGCGTGAAAGATGCAATCCGTTGTGCAAAAGTGATCAAGAATTCGGGCACTAGGGGAAAAAATAAGGGAAAAACGAACTACAGGAACCGGAACCGGAAGCAGAGGTAAGTGCTGACCCTGGGCGATTTCCGTTCACTGGCGTTCTTTGTGTGATTCCCATTCGCAGAGAGATTCAGGGACTTGGTCATGAGTTTCCTGCCGGGGGAGCCGGTGCCGCCGGGATTTGAGGAGGACGACATGTCCCAGTCGTCGGTGATCCAGAAGCAGATAGATAGCTACACCGGCGGCCCACTGATCGGCACCGAGTACACCATCGAGCTGCACGAGGCGGGCCAACTGCGTCCGGACTACTTCTGCGTGCTATGCAATTCCTGCACCGATGGCCGCACCGTCTTTGTCCACTGGACATCGCTGGCGCACCGCACCAAGTACCTGCACACCCATTTCCAGAAGGCCCACGATGTGCTTCAGAAGCTTAAACGCACGCCTAACAGCTCCGGCGATCTGGTCATCGCCACCGGCAATCTCGTTACGGCGATTGAGAAGCACTTCGGTCGCTCCAGCCAGATGGTGACAGCCTCTGGCGCTGATTTCCGGCGTTTTCGCGGCAAGATCTGCAGCCAGGTGCGCGATATTTTCCATTTCGATGAGTGTGCCGGCCCGGATTTCGTCGATGAGGCTCAACGCCTTTTGCGCGAACCGAAGCCCGATGAGTCTATCAAGATTAGCCTCAAGATGAACGCGACCGGGGACGACAGCAAGAAGCAGGAGGATGGCAATATAATCTCCCTGGATGCCATATCCAGTGATGATGAAAACTTCGGTTCTTCCGGTCCTCCTGCCATTCAGGTGCCGAAAAAGGTGATGCGCAAGAAGAACCTGGCCGAAGATGCCAGTGGACGTGGGGTCAACCGCTCGCCGCCGACAACTGGGGGCGTGACCAAGCCCCAGCAGCTGCCCACGCCCAAGGAGCTGTCCATTCAGGCCTCTATTATCGCCCAGGAGCGGTACAAGTGGGAGAAGTTCCGTTGCATGCTGGAACTTCAGCTCAAGCAGCTGCGCGATGAAACGGAGACGTACGAGTCGAATCCCGAGAAGCATCCGGACTATCCGGATGAGTGGAAACAGTTCTGGAATCGGCGCTACAAGCAGCTGCAGGAGGAGAAGAAGTGCGATCCGAATCAGTACGACTACAAGCCGGAGTGGATTAGCTACTGGAAGGATCGCCGCATCGAGCTATTTAACATTTCGGTAAAAAAAATCAAAAAGGATCTCAAGGAGAAGTTTAAGCTGGGGGACGAGGACGAGGAGAAGACCAAGGAGCTGATGGAGCGCTACAAGATCCGTGTGGCCAGTCCGCGGGAAGTGCCGCCCAGCGCCAATGCCGTCAATCGTCGCAAGCAGAACTTCCGCAACAATCGTGCAGCGGGTGCGGGAGGAGCTCCCGATGCCGTCATAGATATCAGCGATGACGAGGCCCCAAGTCCTCCATCCCGTGGTCGTCCTTACAACCGGCGCTCGCACTCCCGGTCGCCGTCACCCAAGCGAGGCGCACGCCGTCCTTTGCGGCGTTCACGCACTCGTTCGCCGCGCCGCAATTTCCGTCAAGGATCGCGCTCCCGCTCGCGTTCCCGCAGCCTGAGACGAAGATCCCGTTCGCCGGCCTTCTATCGCCAGCGCGATCGTCATGTTCATCCATCCAGGGAGCGCGTCGTGTCGCCCACCTCTAGGGATTTCGTAGATCGTCGCAGCCTGGAGCGGGAGCGATCTACCGAGTATTTCCGCGGTGAGAGCTATGCTCGCGGGCCGCGTAGCTATGACCATGTGGAGACCTTCCGCGTGATGGATTCGCGTGTGTATCCGGAATACAACATGTCGAAGGTGCGCTCGATTTCGCCGGCCGTCTCAACCAACAAGGATAAGGAAAGCTCGGATTCCGTCGAGGAAGGTCCACTGACCGTCGTCAGTGTCCTTCGCATGCTGTCCGCCGTGGAGGAGCACCTGGGCAGCCTGGGGCCCAAGGCCCTCAATCTGCTCAGCAAGGCTCTGGCCATGGAGATGGTGCAGCCGAATGCCGCTGACGATTTGCTAATGAACGACGACAACTGTGTCTTTCTGGAGACCACCAAGGAGAAACTGAAGGGCATCCTTATCGCCGAGGTCCTGGACGATCCGCAAAAGGTGCGCGTGGTCAAGAAACTGATCACCAACATAGCGGCCATCATCTTCCAGGTGAACTCCAGAGGTAAGTCCACCCCCATCTCCTCCCATCCGCCCTTCTATCTCACTCTTTTTCGCGGTTAGAAATCCGAAGGTAAGTATGAGTGTAGAAACGATCTAAGCTTCCCGACTTGCCCCTGAAAACAACATGGTTTGCATTGAACACAATCGAATTACTTACTCGCGCGGTTCTCGGTTTTTTTAAAAGTTAAACTTTAATGTGAGTTTCGTGACAATCCATTGAATACGTTAGATTCTATGTGCTGGTGATAAAGAAATAAAAAAAATTAGCCATTTCTTACTTTCATCTACTAACCTCTGCGGTTAACACTAAAATATCTATTAAATAAAATTAGTTTTCTTAACATTATCATTACGAAATAAACTATCTTGGCGGCTGTGATACAGATTGCGATTATCTCATTTCATATTTGTTCTTTCTCACTCAATCATCAACCATACTGGTTGCTCAATGAAAAATCTTAATAAATGATTTATTTATTTTTATACTGGGCCAGGTTTTTTAATCGTTAGATGTTTAACTATATTTAAACCGATTTAAGCAAGACATGTTTTGTATATAAAAGTGTTTTGAATTGCTGCTTGTTTCTGGCAATTATTGATGGTTTCTCACATATCGAGTGTTTCTAACTTTTTGAAGGTCGAAGAAAGTGCTTAAAATAATAAGAATCTAAATTTAGAAGCGTACACAAGAATAAAATTTAAAAAAAAGGTAGAAATGACCTTCTTTTGCTATTTGTTGGGAACTTCTGCACATGTTTTATGCTGGGATTAATATTAAAAATTAAGTTTAATTGGGTAGAGTCTTATCAAGTTTTTACCATGAAAAACGTTGGCGAATCACAGTGATTTTAACTGAAACCACAGCCAAATAAAAAATATATTCGGTATATTCGCTTTTCGGTCAGCTTTTTTTTTGGCGGGTGTGTGAACAAAGTGTGCCATCGATCCGTGAGCAGTCCAGTCGCCATCCACACCATTCATAAGTATAAATGTAATTTGCGTAGTTCCGCGCGACACCGAAGCTCCATTTGCAGACCTGTGAAAACCCACGCCTGCCAATCCTAACTGATTGTTTTCTTTTGTGTTGTTCCTCCGTCGTAATCCGATGATCTAGGTATACCCGATGTCGCCGAGGCCAAGGTCAAGGCGAACGCCAATCCAGCGCCCATTCAGCTGCCCTTCGACCGGAATGTGGTGGCCCCCAAGCTGGCCAATGCTCTGGTACTCAAGGGCTACTACGACGTGTGCACCGGCGACATGAACAACCTGCTGCACCTGCTAACGCTGATGGTCAAGACGGACAAACAGCGCCGTCTGGTGGACAAGAGTAATGGCCTGTCATTCGACGAGATTCTGGTCATGCTCGGTCTGCAAAACGAAACGCCGGTCGACAACATGGGCATCGATCTGGACGAGCTGATGAAGGAGGTGGAAAACCATCTGAACAAGGAGTCGCTGGATGTGGCTGGCGCCGGTGCTGGAGCAGCTGCCAAGGTTCAACTAGAAGCTGCCGGCGGCAGCAATGGCATGGAGTCGCTGACCGACTCGGATCTGCAGACCCTACTACAGAACTTCAAGTTTCTGTCGAATGAGGAGCAGGTGCATCTCATTGGCCATCTGCGCAAGCTGGAGGTCCAGGATCCGTCGCGCGTGGCCCGCCTGCGCAAGTATGTGAACCTGGCGGAGCTAAGTGGCGATGGGGAGTCCTGCAGTGATTTCCTGTCGCGTGTGGTGAACATCGGTGGGGCCACAAAGCCGACGGAGAAATCCAAGTCCATGGCTTCGTCATCGGGGGGCATGGCCTCCTCCTCCGGAGCCGGCGTCGCCGCCTCCTCTTCCAACTCGATGGCAGCTCTCTCCAAGCTGTACAGCCGACGTATCAGCGTAGAGCGTGAGGAGGAAAGCGATTTCCTAAGTGAGCCCAATAATAAGCAGCGTCGCACCCGGATCTCGCCCAGCTTTATAATCGATGACGACGACGAAGACGATGATTACAACTTTGACGATCTGGTGATGAAGGCCTGTGATTCGAATGGCGGCGGCGGCGGCGGTGGTGATGCCAGGAAGACAGGAGGTCCGCCCATTGTAAATGTGGAATCATCACCAAATGCCCTCACCTTCAAGCCAGCAGCTGCATCCAAGATATCGCTGAAGGACACCGAAAGCATAATAGCCAACCTGATGGGCACTTTGAGCAAGCAAGGGAATTCCGGCGGATCGAGTGGCTCCTCCGGAGGTAATCGCAACTATATGATGAACCAACAACAACAGCTGCAGCATGCACCGCAAAATCCGGCGAGTATGAGCCAAAAGACAGGCCAGAATCATGGCCAACACCAGTCGGGAGCAGGCTATCCCAAACCGGGCTATTCGGGGCAGCAGCAGGGCGGCAACTTCGGCCCGGATCCGCAGCCTCTAATGAGTAACTTAAACGCCAGACCCGATCCCAATCAATATCCGAATCAGCAGCCCTTCGGCGGCTATAATCCGTATGCGGGCAATGGTGTGCAGCAGAACTATGGGCCCATGGGACCCGGACCCGGACAAGGACATGGCCCTTATGGCGGTCCCATAAACCCGTGGGCCAACAATGGACCGCCGCAGCCACCCTACAACCAGATGCCTCAAAACTTTTTGAACCCACAGCAACAGCAGGCACCGCCACATTATAACAACATGTTTGGAGGGCGTCATTAGAAGCCAATTAGTCTTAGGTCCTAACCATTAAATCATAGAGATTTAAGCATAGAATATAAACTGGGAATATCCTGTGAAGTGCCCGTGAATGCGCGTATGTGCTAGTTTACATGTGATTTAAGCACCAATTTTTTTTTAGTTCAGACACCTATGCCATCTACAAAAAAACACTATTTCTTTTCTTGAGAACTAAACAATAAAGAACAAAATACATTTGGACATCCATAATTCTGAACAGCAAAACAAACAAAATAAAGAGACACAAATGTTAGCTTTATATCGACTTTTGTTTAGCACTGGTTTCTTCCTGAATATAAAATGGAATTTATATTATGAGCTTTGAGTTCAAAATTTTGAAATTAAAACAAGTTGTGCATTTCAAAATAAAGAAAAACCTTATACAAATTAAGATTTGTATGTTGAATTTTAACAAGAACGTGAACATTTTTTGAAATTAAGTGTATTTATTATTTAATAAAAAGTGAAGAAAAAAGTTAATAAATCTGGAATACCGCCTGAAGTTTTAATCCTGTAAAAGATTGTTCAAAAACAAAGGTAAATTATTTGATTTAAAAAGGTGAATATTCAACAAAATAAAAACTAATTTTAAATTAAACCCTCCTTAACGAAACTTGTTTATAAATCTATGTAAAGCTTGTAAATAATTACTACTATACTACTCACTCTATTTCAAGCTTTTACAGTGCTATATCTCAACCTGCATTAGATTCTTATAGACATACTATTAATTAAAATAGTATCCTATCAGATAACCAGACCTCACAATAAATACAGTATACAAATATGTATAATGCAAAGCTTTCAGAGTTTTTATGTAGGAAAATTAAACTAATTTTGGAAACTGGTAGTAAAAGATGCAGCGGTTGCGACATTTTAATAACAGTGACAATTTGGAACCAGCTTGAGGTAACTCCTGCAGATCAATAAATATATCAAATCGAACGCTTTAACAGATTTTTTATGGCGGAAATGTATCCAAACCTCCTTTAACTACAGTAGGGCAATTGCAGGAAGTCCACGGGCTGTGCCTTCAGAATGCCGGGTATCTCCTGCTGCAGCAGTTCGTGCAGCGACTGACCACTATGCTTGTAGATCCACCTGCCCGCCGCCTCGGTGCCGACAAAGTCGAATCTCTTTGGACCGCTGGTGGGTGAACTGAGCCAGATCTGCTTGTTGGGCGTCTGTCGGTTGATCACATAGGTGCCGTGCTTCCGTCCCAGATTCACGGTGAGCACGCCATCCTGCGGAAACGGAAGCCCAAGGAGATTAGGGTATGTGCATGATGTAACAGCGGTTTCAAACTCACGCCGTAGGCCACATCGCTGCCCTGGAGCTCCTCAGCAGCATTCTCCGTCAGCTCTTCGAAGTAGTCGCACAGACCATCCAGTGTGTCGGAGCACACTCGCTCGTAGGTGGCACTGTCCAAACTGGATTCCGTCTCGATTTGGCTACTGAAAAGTCGCCGGTTTGCGATGGGTCCTTCGAAGTGAACGAAATTTGTGGCTATTGCTGGGATCCTGGGTGAGATCACTTGACTGGCAAGTCCTTGGGGCATTGCCCAGCTTCTAATCGTGGCCAAACATGTCGGTTTGCGGCTCAAACGGGTGAGCAATCGGCTGGCATACATTATGCTACTTATCGTTTTGTTTATATTTTACAAGTTGCAGCCACTGCGCTGCCAACTTGCTACAAAATGTAATGGCTTTTGGTATTTTTCGGTTGGGAAATACCGCTTTGACATATTGGTAGTTGAAACACTCAGTTATGTACTTAAATTTGTTTCAAACTATTTTGCTATTGCTATAATTAAATGAGACTTTATCTATTTGTATACTCAACGAAAGCGTATTTTGTATTAATGTGACATTTAAATTTATACAGTACCAACGTCCAAATTGAGTATATTTTTACAAGTCGAATGATTTTCGTTGGAAAGGGACACGGTCACACCGCAACCAACGCCGACCAACAGAAAATGGCGTCGTCCGCCTGAAAATTGGTGTCTTTCTTGGAAAATCCACGCTCATTTGACCAGCGAAACGCGAAAAATGGCCCTGCCCAGTAACTACAAGCAGATAGCCGTGGGTGCCCAGGGGCCGGGTTCGGCAACGCCGCTGCAGGGAGTTGTTGGCGTAGGAGGCGGCGGGGGCGGATCCGGCGGCGGTGGCAGCCGGTCGCGTTCTTCCGGCGGCGGCGGAGGAGCCGATCGCAACAAGGACCAGACGCCCATCTTCACGCACAGCAACTACGGCAATCCGGCCTTCACGCCGCAGAAAGTGACCAAGTCCTCCAGCAGCAAGAACCAGAACGAATCCCGGCTACCCAAGCCACCAAAGCCGCCGGAGAAGCCCATACTGCCGTACATGCGGTACTCGAAACGCGTTTGGGACAGCGTCAAGGCGCAGCATCCTGAGCTGAAGCTCTGGGAACTGGGCAAGAAGATAGGGGCCATGTGGAAGCTATTGGCCGAGGACGAGAAGACCGAGTTCATCGATGAGTACGAGGCGGAGAAGTTGGAGTACGAAAAGTCGCTAAAGGCCTACCACCAGACGCCCGCCTATCAGGCCTATATGTCGGCCAAAAGCAAGGTGAAGACCGACGTGGACATGCACGAAACTCCGTCCAGAGGTGGCGGTAGCAAGTCGCAGCACGAGCGACGCATCGACATCCAGCCGGCGGAGGACGAGGATGACCAGGACGAAGGCTATACGGCCAAGCACATGGCCTACGCCCGTTACCTGCGGAACCACCGGCTGATCAACGAGATCTTTTCCGAGGCTGTCGTCCCCGATGTGCGGTCTGTGGTGACCACCACGCGGATGCAGGTGCTCAAGCGTCAGGTCAGCTCGCTGACGATGCACCAAACCAAACTCGAGGCGGAGCTCCAGCAGATGGAGGAAAAGTTTGAGGCGAAGAAACAGCGCATGGTAGAGTCCAGCGAGGCCTTCCAGGAAGAGCTAAAGCGGCACTGCAAACCGGCCGTGGATGAGGACACTTTCCAGAAGATGGTGCATCGCATGTATGAGGACATCAAGCGCGACCGCCAGCGGTTGGATGAGCCCAGTGCGAACAACTCGACTAATCCTGTAGCTGCTGCTGCTGCTGTCACGAGGAGCGAGGAAGCTGCCAAACCGCCCACGCAGCCAGGACAGCCGGGTGCCACGCCCGCTAACCAGGAGACGACGCCGCCGGTGGCAGTGCCTCCCAAGGAGACACCGCCGGCTGTGAAGCCAGCCACTACCAATCCCACTCCGAGCTCCACGCCCATTGTCCCGCCTGCGCCCACAGTGCATGTTCATGAAACGGCCAGCAAAACGGATCCCGAGCCCATGGACATTGAGCCGCCGCCCAAGCCGTCGGTACCGCCGCCGCCCATAAAGCCGGAAAAGCTGGAGATGGCCGCTGCCCTGCCTCCGCAGTCAACGCTCGTTGAGCCTCCAAAGTCAGAGCCGGTCAAGGTTGTGACTCAGCCCGGCAAGGTGCCCACACCTGTTCCGACACCCACGCCGCCGCCCGAAGTGCTTCCCGTTGCTGGAGCAGCTCCTGCAGCGACGGCGACGACGACACCCACTCCACCGCCGGTGCAACAGCAGGTGCCACTGCCCCAGCAACAAGGCGCTCCAGCTCCTCCGGCAGGCATGCCGCAGATGCATCCACATCCCGGCCATCCGCCGCCCGGACATTCCCTGATGCCACCGCACATGGGACCTCATCAACCGCCGCCTGGAATGCCTGGCCTGCCGCCGCCACCTCCGCACTCTGGTTACGCAAACTACGGAGGGCCGCCGCACGGTCCACCACCTGGTCCACCAGGTGGACCCGCACGGCCGTACTACCAGCCCCAGTACGGAGGTCATCCCACGCCGCAGCCCTATTACGCGCCCTTCTCGCCGTATCAGCAGTCCTATGGGCCGCCACCTGGGTCGCATTACATGTCGCCGCGTCCGCCACCGCCACAGCATAATGGCAATCCCGGACATCCCTATGCGCCTGAGCATGGGAGCAATCCGCCGCCACCCCAGCAGCAGCAACCGCCGCCGGGTCATCTGCACGAGCCCAGTGGAGGACCAGGAGGTCCAGGCGGAGGTGGACCAGGAGCGGCAACAGCAGCGCCAGGAGGAGGAGCAGGAGTCTACCCCACGCCAGGGGCAGGAGCGGGACCAGGACCAGGAGCACCTCCGGCAGCTGGAGGAGCACCGGTGGGCGAGGTAGCAGCAGCTGGTGGAGCTGCACCTCCTGCAACGGCGCCTGGCAAGCATCCGGAGACGGAGAAGCACGAGGCGGACTAAGACCAGGAGTGGAGCCACCCACTATCCACCAACTCCTCCACTCAGATCCTAGTTGTAGTCCCTAAATTATACATGCATCGATCCCTGTGTTGTAACATAGCTGTCCCCTCTTGAGCCTCCGCCTCTGCTCGCTGTACTCCGAAAACCCGTCGAAATCCCCCAATCTGAACCCCATTTAGGCGCCCAGAAGTCCCCATCAACTCCATTCTCGATTAAGTTTAAAATTCATTTTTTTTCGTGAGGCCTAATTTTAATATTTTATTAATTGAGTGTGCGTCGCATTCTGGACTGTATGCTAAATATACGAGTAAAATAAATGTACGTTTATATGTAAATGAAGAAAAACGACTGATGTTGAAGATTTCTGACTCCGGGGGTTCCATTTGCAAGTTAAATGGAAATTTAATTGGAACCACTTAATTAATCACGTGATTACTTGTGATTGGATGGGTTTCTCCATATTTCCAGTGGAAAGTTTGTTGTAAAATTTAACATTTTTAAAACATCTTTTTTATTTTAATATTCTCACCTAAAAATTATTTATATACACAACTTTATGCGCTGTGATCCTGGGCCTATTTTTAAAAGCAGCATCGTTTTTAAAATCTACTAAAGGTTAATATATGCAAAAGAAAATAGACACAGGAGCTTAACCCATAGTGGGTGCCACTCGTTGGCAGCCTTGAGAAGCAAAACAAAAACAAAGCGGGCAGAGCCAAAGCCACCCATACATGCAGATGCAGCCACTAACACACACAATCGCACTGAGTTACCACACTCGCACACCTAAACAAAGCGTATGACGTCTGCTTTGATTTTTGGAGCCAACTGTACTTTCCCCCTCTCTCCATCCCTCTCACACCTTCTATTTCTATCCCACTTTCGCACAAAATTAAACAATTTGTTGGTGTTGGGTTTTTTGGTTTCTTCTATAGAAAAAACCGTTTATTTTTTTTGTTATTTTTTTTTTGCTGATGTTTCCAGTTATTTTTGTTGTTGCTGTCACTGTTTTTCGTTATTTTTTACTTTTTGGTGGATTTTTGTTTTATTGGTTCTTGTAAGCTACGATACGATATAGACACATATGCAAATATTCCGATTCGTTTAAATGTCCAATGTGAAACTAGTTATCGACACCAATTTACAAGTATATGTTTATGGGCGTTTACAATTGATTATTTTGCATGTGTTTCAACTACATATAAATATTGAGAAATATTTAATGCTTTGCTCTGTTTTGTTGTTTTATTTCGGTTATTATTATTATTTTTAATGCTCTTTCAAATCTATAGACGTGTACAAACACCAAGTAATTTATTTGATTGCTGAATCATCTTTATATCTTTTCCATCTTTTTCTTCTTCCGCCTAAACGTACAAAATGCATGTAAATCTAAAATCTTATTTAATCAACTAACTCTGTCACGCCCATCCCTTCGTTAAAATTTGTATGTGATTTGCAGTAACAGAAGGTGAACAAAATAAAGAGTATTAATGTCTAGTGTTTTCGATTTCTATATAGATATATATTTTATGTATATATTTATATATGTAAGTTTAATTTTAAGTGTACTCTTTCGGTCTTCGGTTATAATTGGATATCATTTTCATATGTTAAAATGCCATGCGTTTTCGGGTTGTTCGCCTGATTCCCACGCCCTCTCCGTCTCTTCAAGAGTCCGGGAATCGCCGCCGGGCAGTAATCCGTCGCCGTCTGTCCGCCCTGCCACGTCCAGCTGGCGGCACTTGTTAGGTTGGCCCCAATCTCCAGGTCCGCGGGTCCCGGCAGCCAGATGTTAAGATCCCCCATAATGGGGAACCAGGCGCCTTAAAGACCACGGATTACTGGAAATCAAGGCCCGCCAGCCAGACAATTGTTGGAGTTGTTGGTGGCGGATGTTGCGGACGGACAGGCGAAAACGGCCGCCCGGGGGAACCCCTTCGAAAGATGGATCCGGAATCGGGGAAAGTATCGTGGTTCCAGGACATTTCAACCGTCGACGCAGACGTGAAAAAGAACTTAATAAGTAATATATAATAGTAATAATAAGAGTTACAAATATGTTTAGCATTAAAGTAATGTGTGTTTTATGTGTGGTGTTGTTTTTAACATCGGCATTCTGACGATCCGACAACTGAACAAAGGATGATAAACGAAAATTTGAATGAAAGATTGGATCAAAGTGTCGCTGATGGTCCTTTCCCTCATAAAAACGTAAATCAGAATGGTCTGTTTGGGGATGGACGACAGTGATCCTTCTGCTCCTAGTGATCCTGCTTAAGCACGCTCGCCACGGATGCGGCGCGCCAATTGTATGTCCTTGGGCATAATGGTCACGCGCTTGGCGTGGATGGCGCACAAGTTGGTATCTTCAAAGAGACCCACCAAATACGCCTCAGAAGCTTCCTGCAAGTCAAAGAAAATAATAGACAATTGTTTAGACAAAAAACCATAACACAGTTTATCTAAAGACTTTTAAAATTCAGCATGATCGATCCCTTAACCACTTTATTGAAAGCTTTTGATGTTTAAAAAACTCATAAACCTTTTAACAAATTGTCCATAATCTTATGTGAAACCCGGTGGAAACTTACTGGAAGTTTGTAAATTTTTTAAAAAGGTCAACCATCAACTAATGCTGATATACTACTAAAGTACTGACACTATATTTTAAGTCTTTTATAGCATATACTAAATTAAAACCCATTCGAATTCCCTATAATCCATTGTATAGAACCAAAATGTTTACCTGCAGGGCTCCGATGGCCGCCGACTGGAAACGCAAATCGGTCTTGAAATCCTGGGCGATTTCACGCACCAGGCGCTGGAAGGGGAGCTTGCGGATAAGCAACTCAGTCGACTTCTGGTAACGACGGATTTCACGAAGGGCCACGGTTCCGGGACGATAACGATGGGGCTTCTTCACTCCACCGGTGGATGGCGCCGACTTGCGGGCGGCCTTGGTGGCCAGCTGCTTACGGGGAGCCTTTCCTCCGGTCGACTTACGGGCGGTCTGCTTGGTACGGGCCATATTAACTTCTTATCTCAAACTGCAAAAGAAAGATGGTGTGATGCGAAATGTTAAACCTTTTTATTACAACTCAAAATGAGTTTAAAAATTTAAGTAATTAAATACACCACAATGCAGATTTTCGGCCAAATTCAAGAACAATATGAGTTATTTATCTCTTTTTGCAACTGTAATTTGAGCCAGAAAATTGTACTAAATATACAAGAGTTATAAAAAAAACACTCTGATTTTTTCCAGGTGAGCAACAAAACACGTCTGCCAGGAACTTTTTGGCTCGCACAGGCGCAGTGTTATGGACTGCAGAAAGATGCAACTGGGCAGGATACACAATATATAGATACATGGTTTTAACTTAAAATTATAAACATTTTGTATATATTTAACACACAATGCCGACTGAAAATGGTATGCAATTTTCAAGTAACGGATTGAGGCAAATATAAAGTTAAGCTACAAACTTAAGTTTGATTTACTAAGTACATCTTGTAGTTACCAAAAACACTGCGAACCTTTCCAGGTGAAAAACAAAACTCGACTGCCAGGAACTGTTTGCGCACTCTAGCCTTTTTGGCCGGCACAGGCGCAGTGCAGCAGCCTGCACAAATGTGCAACCAGGATACACAGGATAAAGACGGATGACTGTGGCAGAGAGCCAAAGTTAAGACCGATGCACAGCGCCGAAGCGCTGGCGGCCAACTGACGACGAACCGAGATCTCGGTTACAACGAAAACGAGGGTGGAACGTAAGTTTCATCGGGACAGCTGCCTGCTTTTCCTTTTCCCCCTATTTTTTTTTTACATCTTCTGGGAACGCCGGACCGCACTCGAGAAACTTCCACTTGAATGGGAAAGGAAAAAATCGTGTCTTGGCAGCACACACAGAGAAAATCTGGGGTCGTTGTTTACATGTTTCATATTTCTATGCATTACTTTCAAATTATTATATTCGAAATAATAGTTTTCAAATTTCCAGAATCTAGTCCATCCTTAGTTTTTTTTTTTTTGATAAATGTTTATTATTTAGACGGCTTTTTTAAGGAAGATCACCTTATTAGTAAATGTTCGCATATCAACGCAGCGATGTAAAAAATAATTTCATGAAATGGAATTTATAGAAAATGATTTTCTCCTTGACTATTATATGCTCTTGTTAATAAATTTTTCTCATTGTGTAAAAGTTCCACGATGAAGGACCACTTGAAATATTATTTCTTTTCTTCTCGAGCAAACAACGTGAGTCGCTGTTTTTTGTGTTCCCCTTCTTTTTGTGTATGGCCACTTGAGTATTTTGCGTTTTATGCGGAATCAATCAAGCTGAAGTAATGAGTTGTAGATTCCAATTTATGTGCAGGCAAGGAGAAAATAAATAAGAAAGAAAAAAATCTTGGAAGCGCCAAAAGAGTAAACATAAACAAAAAGAAAAGCAAGCGGTAAAAACTTGGCGCGCGTTAAAGGCGGCAAGTTGGAGAGAGACAGACCTATGGCACATTCGCATTAGAAAGAGAGGAGTGAAGTGCTCACAACAGTTAATTGCGTCGTTTCTCCGCCAGCCAGCATGTGTGTATGTGACAGCTGCACATCCTCACAAGCTAACAAAAAAAAAAACAATTATGCAATAAAGTATAGAAAAGAGCGGGGCATACTGCGCATGACAAGAGCAAACATGCACATTTGCATTGTGGTATATACACACACTTGCGGGGGCCAGCACTTGAGAAATAAATAAATTACTTTTATCTTTTGACGCCAGCATAAATACGATTACTCATACTTTTTGGCGCCAATTTTCAGGCCCGCTTTTTCTTGCGGGATCCCAATTTCGTTTGCGCCTGCAACTTTTTATTTGTTGCTGCTCTCCTGCGTGGCGGCCATTTTGGAAAAAGCAGCGCAACACAACTACAGCAATAATGCAACCGTCGTGCAAATACGAATACGAAACCTCTCACATCTTCGTGCATTTGTGTGTATCCACCAGCGAAAATGCCCATGTGTGTGTTCGGTGAAAAATAGGGCTCCGCTGGACGGCCGGCGGAGCCCCGAAAACAAGAAAAAAAATTAACTCCTATTTGGAGACACCAAAAAAGGAACAGCGCACGCAATTTTACCGCCCACTGGCACGGGCATTGCAATTTCAAAGTTTAAATCTATACAATAACCACTCACCGTTGAACACGAAGAAAAATTGTTATTTTCACAATTAAATACTTTCACACGAGAACGACGATAGATACGATTCGGACGAAAAAATTTCACAATTGCTAGAGCTAGAGGTGGAGAACCATCGATGTTGACATCGGTCATCGATGTTTTCATAATATAATCGATATTTTTCATTTCTAACGACTATCGAAAATCGCACTGTTAACGATTCCATCCAGTGAGTAAGAAGCACTGTTAACGATATGTTAATCTGCCGATATATTTAATGTAATGATTAAAACGAATTTTTAAAATACAAAGATGTATTTATTTGTTACCATTTCCACGGTTCTCAAGGACATGATTAAAAAATAGTAACAGTTTTCGTTTTTCTGCAAGATAACGGTAAAAGCAGTACATTTTTTTTATCCTTTGCTGATTTGTCTAAAAATATTTATAAATCCAAAAATGTTTTCTCACGAAAATGAAAAATATGTTATGTTAATTTTGTTATACAACTCAATAGTTTTTGAATGTTTAGCTTGAGTCACTTGAAATACTTTGCAATATATATTTTGATAATTATTATTAATTATTAAAATTTTTTGTGTTATTTTGTAGACCAAAATCATTTTTGCAACTCTCGTGACTGCTACAACTGAGAGCAATTTACAATATTTTTAATGCCGCATTAACGTTTTTGTGATTTCAAAAGCTTGTGGAAAAGAAACATTATTCTACTCTTTTTTTAAAAACTCAATGATAACATTTATTTTAAATATATATATATGTATTGAAAACCTCCTTGTACGCGCTCATTAGAGCTGGGCAATGCGCTCACGATGTATCGATATATCGAATGGTTGTGGGTGCTGGAAATGATCGAGATGGTTGGCGGCGTTGCCACCTGTCGGGTTTTCGATAGTTAGGGTATTTGGTCGGCGCCCAGCCTTGGTCACTCCGCGGCCAAGCGATGGTCACACCGCCGCCACTGCGATATTTCACCTTCGATATGTAAACATACTGCCATCTCTACCCCAGCACCGAGCCGAAAGAAGAAGTGCAACGCGCAGCGTCTAATTAAAACCAAATTGATCGATTTGGCAGCGGCCGAAACTGGACATTCGCAATTTGGGCGGTCAGCCGCCCCCGTCCCGTACCGCCCCGCCCCCCGCGCGTTTCCCGCTGCCGTGGAACAGTCCGTCGGTGTGACGCACGTCGGTGTGTGTGCCTTGTTATTGTTGTTGTAGCGCTTGCTACGTTCGCCGTTCGCAGTGCGGTGGTGTGCGAGCGAGCCAGTGTGTGTGTGAGTGTGTGCAAAGAGGTATCGTTGGAATTAACAAAAAAAAAAACAGAAAAAACAAGATTGGAAAAAATTTAAAAGCCGAGAAACAAAGCTGATCTTTAGCCACCTCCTTTCGGCCAGGTGTGCAAAAAGTGTTCACCCAACTGTTGCATGCCAAAGATTCCTGGGCCAACTCTTCTGTTCATCCACAAACATCCTGTTCATCGTCATACTACGACTTCCCTTGTACTCCCTGCAAAGACGCCTTTTCCAGGGATTAATAGTCTCCTGCCTCCCGGAAACACACGCACCTGGGAACTCCCGGGTGCTCTGCAGCGTCCGCATGTGGCGTTGGCGGCACTCCAGCAAAAGAAGCCAGCGCCAAGTGCCCAATCCTCATCGTAGTCCTCGACCGCACTCGGATAACTTTCAGTGGCAGCGCTACCACAGCAGTTAGCCGGAAAGAAAGCCACGCTCGTGACCTCATCGCCGGAACAACAACAGCCAGCGCTTGACGCGTGCCTCCTCATTACCATTAACATTCCCATAACCAGGCGACCATCTCCTGGCAGGTAAATATACGCTAATGAAGACTGCCTAGGCCAGCACTCAGTTAATCACTTTTTGCCGCTTTCAGGGCACCAGCTGACCACGACTAAGCAGTAGAAAGAAGCAACCGATCACAAGAAGGCACTTGCCACCAGGAAGCACCTGTAACTGCAGCTGGAACCCTTGCATTTGCATGCCTGTTGGACTAGAACCTGTGACCAGCCAGCGCAGCATGGATGTGGAACGAAGGCGCCGGTGAGTGCTCGAGATGGCGGCCCAAAAGCAACTGCTCCACTCAATTAATTGTCACCCGAATGGCAGCAGCCATTGGCATCGCCCCGCATCGCATCGCACAGATACGTGCGATTTGTACAGACAGATTTGTGATTTGTTCAACTACGCTGGCAGTTAGCAGGCAGCTAGCACAATTCAGCGCAAGCCAAACGGGCCAGGCCAAAACAAATCAAAAAGTAATACACCGCTGGCAAACACCTTCCATATCTCATGTTCAAAGCGACAGCGCGGCAATCAAATTGACAAGCGAGTGAACAAAACGGGGGGCGACTTTATAATAAATTTGCCATTTTCGCATTAAAATTTGTAACCAAACCAAACTGAAACGAACGCAGTAGCTGATGCCGCCGCCGCTGATGCCGTTTTGTCAGTTGCAGGCGTCGCGTTGCATCGGCTGCATCGTTTTGGGTCAAAAAGAGGCCAAGCCGCAGGGAGAGAGAACAACCCGCAGCCTTTCCCATTGGACAGTAGAGACGGTATTGGCGGTATAGGCGGTATAGGGCATGTGGCCATGGCTAATGCCCGCCGCCCTCCATTCGAGCGAGCCGGAACGGTACGTTGCTCTCCACGCTTCCAGCTCGTCCTGCTCCGCTTCCAAATTGCAAATTTCAAATACCAAATTCAGTTGAGTACCAGTACCTACTGGCTAAAACAATTCCGTGGTTTCGACTATGCATATAAATTCTTTAATTTTATTACCCATCCACTCAGTATCTGTTGTAAGCACATATTAGCGCAAACAGAAAAGTATTTGCGTACTAACAAAGGCCAATTGCATTGCGCATTTGGTCATAAAAGCCAACAGTTCCTTTGTGCTTTGCAAGTTAATTAGAATTAATAAGGTGTGGAAGAGATTCTGCAACGCAGATGCAGAAGCTCCAGTCAAGTCCTTTCCAATACAAAGCATTCAATTTGTTAACTTAACGAAAAAAAAAAGAGCAGTTGCTTTCCAGCACAAATTTGGCGACGTTGTATAAATTAAATTGAAAATTATATTGTCTATAGGTGACGATAATGTTGTCGTCGTCGTTTCATAGTCGTTGTTGTTGCCGCGGTTATTATGTATTATTATTATTGTTGTTGTTGTTATTGTTTTGGTTGTTCATAATTATGTTGTTGTTGCCATTGCCGCTTTGGCCAAATCGAAATCAACAGCGGCAACGAAAATTCATCGCAGCATTTTTGAAAATTCCACTTTCCCAAGTTGTTTGCGTTTGCTGTGTTGCTATTACCCGCTGTTTGGACGTTTTGTTTTTGGCTTTTCTGTCATGCCGTAAGTGGCGATGATGAAATCACAACAATTCAAACACCTTTTAGTATCAATTTTTAGCGCCGACTGTCATCGGTGTTTGGCTAAGCCTAGCTCGGTTCGAATCCGATTGCTCTGGCGACTCCTACGGCTTCGACCCGTTCCGTCCACTCACTCGCCTCGTATTGATGTTGGGGCAGTGCAAATATTTGCCTCTCTGCCAGCTAATTGCACATAAATTTTGGTTACTTTGGGCCAACCCACGTGGGATTGCAACTCGGCACCCAATGGTTAGCAGAATCCCTACGAAATGCCTCGAAATAGAGCTAATATCCACCCACTCGCCTATCCCAATATAATTGCCTTGTTCTTTTCCGAAAAAGTAGTTTAATTATCCCGTTCCAGATATTCCGATTTTCAAAGCGACTTTTCCCATGGTCCGTTGTCTCGTATTTTGTTATAATTAAATTACCAAATGTACCATATCATCCTTATAAATTTCGTTCCGCTAAGTACTTCATCTTATTTTGGTTATGCTGTGTTTACAAATCTTATTTTCAATGATTAATTGTTTTTTTCTATTTCTATTAAAAGTGAATATCTAATTACTCGTAATAATAATATGATCAATATTTAGTTAATGCATTTGATTCACAAAATATATATATTTTTCATACGCAATTTGAATTTCTTATTCGCAATATAACACACTTTCCAAGTTTTTATACTATTATCTTGAAATAAGGCATACAATATTAATGAGTAATATTTCTAATTATCAGAAATTTTAAACCAACACCATGTGATCAGTAATGAGAGCTAACGCTTACCGACTACTGAATTTAGTATACTATATTTACTAAACTATATTACGCTAGTTTTTCAATGATCACCATGTTCATTCATTAAAGAACAAAGCTGAGCGATTTAATGATAAGTATAAATGAAACATTTAAATGTTTTTTTTTAACTGATTACAACTAAAGCTTGACTAGTGAATTAAAATGCTTCTTTGTAAAGCATATAATATTTAATTTGATTCATAATTTTTCTGCTTAAAGTGAAGATTGCAACGACCCACTTTACGTTCTAAGAAACCGTAATTAATTTGTTTTTAATATCAGTCTTGGCGGAAAACAAGAGCACTATCTTTGCTTCGGTTTTTCTTGGCCACTTCACTGTCCATATTTGTGTACATAAGTTTGGTTTCCAATGGGTGTCAGCCCGAAGGTGGCGGCGGCCGCAAGGTGTTCCATTCAAAAACCAATGCAGACCGAGCAAGCCGAGGCAAAAAATCCAGAGTGCTCATCATCATGGCAGCTCCAGCTGCTCAAGTGGGCCGTATCGACGGCAAGTCGCTGTCACTGGCCTGCACATGGCTTGCATTCCATCCACAATTTATCAAAGTCCACAGAGTCGAGCGATAAAGTCAAGGCCTCCTCCTCTGCGGTCGCCCCTCGCTTCCGGCCAGCTCTATTTGCCAGGTTCTCAATGGAGCGCAGTGTTCTAATTGCGATAACGCGTCTCGGATCTCAAATGTCCGGGCATGTGCCGCCCATTTGTCTGCCACTGAACCACTGGATTGGGGTAGATCTGCGGTGTAGTCCGTGTCCGCTCTTCTGACTCACCGCCAGTCCAACTCCCTGCTCTGAAATCCCATGAAATTTCGACAGCTTGGCTGTCTCCGCTTATTATTTACATTGTCAAGCGCATACAGTTGCGGTGAATTTGATAGCACTTTACAATAAACTCAATTAGAGCAATCTTACTCTACCCACATTTTTTCAAAAATATATATTATGTATATCCTGCATCTAAACAAGGGTTACTGAATCTATTTTACAAAAACATTTAAAATTGTGCGTAGTGTCAGTTTCTAAGAGTTTTATTGAAACCTCATAATTTTCGAAAAGTAATTAAACCAATTTTTAATGGGAAAACTCATTCTGTGCCGGGGGAAAATAGGTCCATTATGATGCCGAAATTGCAACACATATGCCTACTTCTAAAACCATGGCCAATTAAATTCGCTGATGCAGTAATAACAACAATTCTTTCATGTAGAGATGCGAAGTTTTTAATGCCATTATTAGGACCGCAGCTGTAGGTTTTTGGATGGGGTACCGGGAAGTGGTGTTTATACGTCCATGAGTAATCTGCGCACTTTTCCCTCATAGTTCTTTTTCTTTTTCGTTATTATTTTGTTTCCTTTTTTGTTTGTTTATGCGAGCGATTTGCATGACGACCAGCGGAAGAACAGTTGAACAATCAAACACTCATCGAAAGTAAACAATGAACGAATCGCATATGATTAATTCGGATTGTGGAACACCTCTAATTTCCCATTTCCCCGTTTTCCAGGGCGAATACGCTCGAGCGCGAGATGCGCGATCCGACCAGCATCTGCAATGTGGACTGCCTGCTGGACACGGTTTCGGCTTTGGTCAGCGATTGCGATCACGACTCCCTGAGGCGGCTGAAGAACATCGAGCAGTATGCGACCAAATGTGAGATACCATAGCCTGAAAACATCCAGGGCATCCACCATCTAAATAACCACTCTCCTTGATCCGCAGATAAACCCCTGGCGCTGCAAATCAACCAGCTGCGGATGAACGTGGAGGATTTCGACTTCATCAAGCTCATCGGCGCCGGCGCCTTTGGAGAGGTGCAGCTGGTCCGGCACAAATCCTCCAGCCAGGTGTACGCCATGAAGCGGCTGTCCAAGTTCGAGATGATGAAGCGACCGGACTCCGCCTTCTTCTGGGAGGAGCGACACATCATGGCGCACGCCAACTCCGAGTGGATCGTCCAGCTGCACTTTGCCTTCCAGGTGAGCTAGCTGTTCAGCCTTTAACTAGTTCAATAACATCTTCGCACGAGTGGTTTTCTTAAAACATATTACAAAAATAATACAAATATTCTCTAACCGGAAGGCTCTGTAGCTCGCATTCCCTCTTAGTAGATAGTATTTTGAGTTATGGAACTATAGTATAAACGGTAGCAAATGAATCACACAATTTCGAAATATATGTGAATCACAAAAGTTCAAACCCAGAACAGCTAAAAGGTGTTAAGTTATTTGTTTACCTTATGGGCCTAAAACTACTTCAAAAACAACAATCAATAGTACTGCAAAAATATTTGATTAAAAGTAATAATTTGCTTTAGCCCAGCAGGCCTTGCTTTATACTTTAAATCACTTTTTATGTAGTAGCTTCAATAAACAATTTGAAAGACAAAATAGAATAAAACGAGGCAAATTACTTTAAAATAGCAAAAGAATATAGCGGAAGGATAGCGTAATTATGGACAATATAATAAAGAGTAGTGCACTCTTAGAGATCCTCAAGTCGCCGTTGCCAGATTTTTGTTTCGAGAGTAAGAATGAGGACGGTGCTGGCAATCTTGGACGTCAAAGTGCAGTAAAACTGAGTGCCGAAGCCCCGGAATTTGTGCCTCGTTTCAAGAGGGAAGAGTCCACCGAAAATAAAGATGAAGATGTGGACTTGAATGAATTAAAGAAAATGTTTGAGGCCCTGGATGATGAGAAGGCGACTAAGCCGATTATGTTGAAGTTGCCCTGGAAGGGATTTCCCAAGAGATCTCAAAGAAGTAAAGCAGATATTTATAGATAATTGATAATTGCATTTGGTATACCATCAACTTTCTGTTTTAGCTTCACACAGTACCCAGGTGGTTTTGTTGAATGAAGTGGACTACATGATTGTTCCCCGCAACAAGGGGACGAAAAAGTCCAAGGAAGAAAATCTATTTATTAACTCGGATACGACGCGCCCTGAAAGCAAGGGAAATGCCACACAGAAGAGTGCTGTTACCACTTCATCTGATGTCCCTCTGGATTCCCCGCCACCTGCTGAAAAGCGTTTGAGTGCACAGGAGAGGCGTCGTGAGCAGGAGAGAAATGTGGCTTTGGAAGCCTTGAAATTGGCGGAACAGAGACGTAGGGGTCATTCAGTTCCCTCCCCGGATTGTGACCAAGCCCATCCCATTGTGCATCTCTCCCGATCGCCTCTAAGATTTACGCCCGAGGAGAGAATTAAAGTGGACCGCCTAAAAGCCGCAAAGCGGGAACGAATCGAGAAGGCTCTTTTGGAAATGGCAAATAACCAACAGGAGCAGCAGGACAATGGCTCGCCCAATGAGGAGCGGACTCAGAACCATGGGTCCAATCGCCATATTAACATTCGAAAAGAACCACAAATGCCAGGAGAGATGGACATCGCCCAGACCAAAAGATATATACCCACCGCCAAGGAATGGAACGTGCAACGTCGTGCCAAGCATATGGCCAAGATGGAAGCCAAAGTGGAAAATGAAAACTGTTTTCAGCCAGCTAAAACAAGGCGAATATTTACCAACTCCCGTGGTAACAATATCAAGCCATCGAAGTTTGCAAAAGGAGGAGATCTTGTGGCCAAGGCCACTCCGCCAACTGAACTACTCAAATGGGAGCAACGCAAGGGAAACCTCACCCATTTCCGAAAGCTCCCCAAATCGACACCCCGTCAAATGCTCCAAACTCCGTTTAAGATGCCAATTAATCTGAAGGAAGGAGACGTACAGCGCTATAGTATCGAGCAATTGCTGGAATTAGAACCACAGCCGGAAGAACTTGAAAAACCAAATATCGATCAGATTCTCAATCGATTGGGACTTGTGTCCCATTGATTTTATCACTGTTTTGTACTCACCGTAATATCTGAACCTTTCATTTTCTTTGATTTTTTTTACAAATTCTATTTTGAGATGGGTTGATGAGTTACCATAGTTAGCTGAATTTGTATTATGTGCGTAAACTGACAAGAAAAGCCATTTCATATATGTATAAATAAAATATAAAATGTTTTACGTTCCTACTATGATTTAAATGCTTCAGTTTTATAGTAACAAAAAAAAAATATATATATATACCCTTTTTTATCTACGAGTAAGATTTCATATATTTTGTTTGCAAATTATGTTTATATTATATGAAAAACATTATGGGTTTCATTTACACAGGCCTAATCATTATTTCAACATAAGTTAACGAGACCTTTTTATTGCCATCCCAGGAAGTCCAATGAATTCCATTTTTAGATGCATCTGTAACGATACCATCCTTAAAATAATTTCCATTGAGCGTGCTGTAATTTGAAATCGTTTTAATTAGATTGTTTGAATAGGTTTTAACAAGTGTTTACCAATAGCCACAGTCATTGTACCACCAACCACCGTTTCCGTTGAAGGCACAATTGATTTTATAGTTGTCATGCTGCCAGTCATAAGTAGTGAACTTTTGTTTCTCATCAGATCTCAGGACGTCTCCGACTGAACCCGTATAGTTCCCCAACGATATCAGCTCGTACAGTTCATATTCGCTGCCAATGAGGAAATCATCGTAATGTGCGTAGCCGATGCGTCCAGTAGTAGCATCTCCAAGTGTAATAGAGAGTTCATGTCGACGTCCCTGAGTCATTGAGTGAATTTTATCTAGTCCGATGAAAAATTCGCCGTCTATATTTCCAAACCCGTCCTTGTAGTCCTTCCAGGGCCGATCAAAATTTTCCGAGCCGTCCATTCGCCTTTGAATGGTCGTCCAACCACTTGCTTTGCAGAGGTCTTTAAATGTGTAGATTCTGGGCAATTTCATTTCGTAAATACACGCCAATAGTCCTTTATTATGTATATTTCCCAAATCGAAACTTGACTGGTCTCTTATTTCGTTATCGTTCGATTCAAGGGCTTCTGTTAAAGTTTTGAGCCTTTCGATTTCGCTATTTTGTGAAACTATTTTGTCTTTAGATATTTCGATTTCTCCTGAAGCATTATGTAAGTTACGGCGAAGGTCCTCAATAGTTTTTGTCATAAGACTTTCTTTGTAATCCTTATCTTTGAGCAATTCATTTAGTTTACTAATTTCTTCATCCTTATAATTTTTTTCCTTGCCTATGTTACTTATTTCATTCTGCAGCTCTTCAATATTTGTTGTCAAAGAGTTTCCTCTTTCATTGTTTTCCATAATTTCTTTATTTTTTAAAATTAATATGTCCTCCCTAATTGCAATTTCACTTTTAGCCCTATCCAGTTCTCCCTGTAAGTCAGTAATATTTTGTGTTGAAGTAATTAGTTCGTCATCTTTAATTTTGATTTGGCTTGTAGCAATTTCTAATTGACTCTGCAAATTTGTAATCATTTCTTCCAACCGGCTGACTTCGACTTTCACTCTTTCATTGTTTTCCATAATTTCTTTATTTTTTAAATTTAATAGGTCCTCCCTAATTTTAATTTCACTTTTAGCCGTATCCAGTTCTCCCTGTAAGTCATTAATATTTTGTGTTGAAGTAATTAGATCGTCATCTTTAATTTTGATTTGGGTTGTAGCAATTTCCAATTGACTCTGCAAATTTGTAATCACTTTTTCCAACCGGCTGACTTTGTCGGCTTCTGTTTGGAGTAGTACATTTTGATCCTCTATTTTTTTATTTTTTGCATTTATTACACCTTTTGTGTGATTAATTTGTTCATTCGCAACAACAATCTGACTTTGTAATAATTTTATATCTTTCATATTCTGATTAAGCAATACACTTTGGTTGTTCTTCTTAACTCGGTTATTTAACTGCTTACGCATACTCAAAATTTCCATATTTTGTTCATTGATAAGATCTAATTTTACTCCTATTTGAAGTTCAATTACTGCTATTTCATTCCGCAATTTTATAATAGTTTCGTTCAAAGAATTTACGCTGCCGGCTAGTTTATCGTTGTCTTCGAGAACCTCAGAACAATCCTTACGAAATAAGTTGGCACCGATAGAAGTAATTTCGATCAAAATCAAAATTGTCACAAAAATTTTTAAAATGTCCGATTTCATGATGTTGATTGCTGCACGACTTCTCGACATTAAACCAAACTAAGCTCGTCGTTGAACATATATACTGTATATATGGGAAAACCCGACCTGAGATAAGCATAATTTTAATCGCTCGAATATGTATTCTTGTCTGCTAAAATGGAATCTTTTGTCATAATTAACAAAACAAAATAAAAAAATAAAGATCGAAACAATTCTAAACATATTATTCCTAAGAGGAGTTATTTTGCTTTAATTTTTAAAGTTTATACTTTAATTTGTCTGTCTGTATTTTGCTTGATATCCAGTTGTGGCCAATCAATTTAGGTAGCTTACATTTCATTATGCTGTCAATGAATCACAGTTTAATTTTGCTATAAGTTAATAACTTGCCAGAACTCGGCAAATATAGTTTATAAACAACAAATAATTTGTGACATATAATTTATGGTTATACCCTTATGAAACCTTATAAAATATATATATTCTTAATCAGCATGACCATACCGTTTGCAAGCTCGATTTAAAAGCTACAGATTTGAAGCTGTTTTTTTTTTTTTCAATTTGAGTATATTATAATTATATATATATATTGAGTATATTATTTTTAATTTGCAGGGGTATTAAACCGAAACTAGCTTCCGTTCTTGTTTTTTAAGAGTATATAGTATATTTTCTGGATTACAGAGAAATTTTAAAATGAGCTTGAACTTTCCCCGGACGTATAAGTAAATAAATTCTTATCTCTCTCCGTAGGATGCCAAATATCTGTACATGGTGATGGACTTTATGCCCGGCGGCGACATCGTGTCGCTGATGGGCGACTACGACATACCGGAGAAGTGGGCCATCTTCTACACGATGGAGGTGGTGCTGGCCCTGGACACCATACACAACATGGGCTTTGTGCATCGCGACGTCAAGCCGGATAACATGCTCCTCGACAGCTACGGCCACCTGAAACTGGCCGACTTTGGGACCTGCATGCGAATGGGCGCCAACGGGCAGGTGGTGTCCAGCAATGCGGTGGGCACACCGGACTACATCAGTCCCGAGGTGCTGCAGTCGCAGGGCGTGGACAACGAGTACGGACGGGAGTGCGACTGGTGGTCGGTGGGCATCTTCCTCTACGAGATGCTCTTCGGCGAGACTCCCTTCTACGCGGACTCACTGGTGGGCACCTACGGCAAGATCATGGATCACAAGAACTCGCTCAGCTTCCCGCCCGAGGTGGAGATTAGCGAGCAGGCCAAAGCCCTGATCCGGGCCTTCCTCACGGACCGAACGCAACGTTTGGGTCGCTACGGCATCGAGGACATCAAGGCGCATCCGTTCTTTCGCAACGACACCTGGTCGTTCGACAACATTCGCGAGAGTGTGCCGCCGGTGGTGCCGGAGCTCTCCTCCGACGACGATACGCGCAATTTCGAGGACATCGAGCGGGACGAGAAGCCGGAGGAGGTGTTCCCCGTGCCCAAGGGCTTCGATGGCAACCACCTGCCCTTCATCGGCTTCACGTACACGGGCGACTATCAGCTGCTGTCCAGCGACACCGTGGATGCGGAGTCCAAGGAGGCCAGTGTGGCGAACAGCGGAGCGGCGAGCAATAACCACGGCCACGGGCACAACCACCGCCATCGGCCGTCGAACTCCAACGAGCTGAAGCGCCTGGAGGCGCTGCTGGAGCGGGAGCGTGGCCGGTCGGAGGCACTGGAGCAGCAGGACGCGGGCCTGCGGCAGCAGATCGAGCTGATAACGAAGCGCGAGGCGGAGCTGCAGAGGATTGCCTCGGAGTATGAGAAGGATCTGGCTCTGCGACAGCACAACTACAAGGTGGCCATGCAAAAGGTGGAGCAGGAAATCGAGCTGCGCAAGAAGACGGAGGCGCTGCTCGTTGAGACGCAGCGCAATCTGGAGAACGAGCAGAAGACGCGGGCACGCGACCTGAACATCAACGACAAGGTCATCTCCCTGGAGAAGCAGCTGCTGGAGATGGAGCAGAGCTACAAGACGGAGACGGAGCACACACAGAAGCTGAAGAAGCACAACGCCGAGCTGGGATTCACGGTCAAGTCGCAGGAGGAGAAGGTGCGCGACATGGCCGACATGATCGACACGCTCCAAAAGCAGAAGGAGGAGCTGGGTCAGGAGTATTCCGGGCTGCATGCGCTGGTGGTGCAGGAGAAGAACCTGCGTTCGCAGCTCAAGGAGATGCACAAGGAGGCCGAGAACAAGATGCAGACGCTGACCAACGACTACGAGCGGACACTGAGTCGCGAGCAGAAGGCGCAGGAGGACAACCGGGCGCTGCTCGAGAAGATCAGCGACCTGGAGAAGGTCAACGCCGGCCTTGACTTCGAGCTGAAGGCGGCCCAGGGCCGCTACCAGCAGGAGGTGAAGGCCCACCAAGAGACGGAGAAGTCCCGCCTCGTCTCCCGCGAGGAGGCCAATCTACAGGAGGTGAAGGCGCTGCAGTCGAAGCTCAACGAGGAGAAGTCCGCCCGCATCAAGGCCGACCAGCACTCGCAGGAGAAGGAGCGTCAGCTGAGCATGCTGTCCGTCGACTATCGCCAAATCCAACTGCGCTTGCAGAAGCTCGAGGGCGAGTGCCGGCAGGAGTCGGAGAAGGTAGCCGCGCTGCAGTCCCAGCTCGACCAGGAGCACAGCAAGCGCAACGCCCTGCTCTCGGAGCTCAGTCTGCACAGCTCGGAGGTGGCGCACCTGCGATCCCGTGAGAACCAGCTGCAGAAGGAACTGTCTGCCCAGCGTGAGGCGAAGCGCCGCTTCGAGGAGGATCTCACCCAGCTGAAGAGCAATCACCACGAGGCGCTGGCCAACAACCGGGAGCTTCAGGCCCAACTCGAGGCGGAGCAGTGCTTCTCGCGGCTGTACAAGACGCAGGCGAACGAGAACCGGGAGGAGAGCGCCGAGCGGTTGTCCAAGATCGAGGATCTCGAGGAGGAACGCGTGTCGCTGAAGCACCAGGTGCAGGTGGCCGTTGCCCGCGCCGACTCGGAGGCTTTGGCCCGCTCCATTGCCGAGGAGACCGTGGCCGATCTCGAGAAGGAGAAGACAATCAAGGAGCTGGAGCTGAAGGACTTCGTGATGAAGCACCGCAACGAGATCAATGTCAAGGAGGCGGCCTTGGCCACGCTCAAGGAGGCGGAGATCGAGCTGCACAAGAAGCTGGGCCAGAAGGGCGCCGAATGCGAGGATCTCGTCCAGCAGCACAAGAAGCAGCTGGACGAACACTCGCTGTTGAGGACCAGCAAGGACGAGGAGATCACCAAGCTGCTGGACAAGTGCAAGAACGAGGTCCTGCTCAAACAGGTGGCGGTAAACAAGCTGGCCGAGGTGATGAACCGACGCGACTCCGACCTGCCCAGTAAGTTGCAACCGTACTTTGCGCCTGCCACCACTAATCCCATTCCAATTTCAATCCCAATCCCAAATGTATTCCCCGCAGAGCAAAAGAACAAGGCCCGCTCCACCGCCGAGCTGCGCAAGAAGGAGAAGGAGATGCGCCGGCTGCAGCAGGAGCTCTCGCAGGAGCGCGACAAGTTCAACCAGCTGCTCCTCAAACACCAGGACCTGCAGCAGCTGTGCGCCGAGGAGCAGCAGCTCAAGCAGAAGATGGTCATGGAGATCGATTGCAAGGCCACCGAGATCGAGCATCTGCAGAGCAAGCTGAACGAGACGGCGTCGCTCTCATCGGCGGACAACGATCCCGAGGATAGTCAGGTGAGCATTGTTGCCGGCGTCCAGCGAACACAAAGAACACTCACACAGAACTCACACCACACACATGCTCCTCCACTCCTCCCGGGCGTCTCTAGCACTCCTCTCTGCTCTCCCTCACACAGGACTCGGTTTTCGAGGGCTGGCTGAGTGTGCCCAACAAGCAGAACCGGCGACGTGGCCACGGCTGGAAGCGGCAGTACGTCATCGTGTCGTCGCGCAAAATCATCTTCTACAACTCGGACATCGACAAGCACAACACCACGGATGCGGTGCTCATCCTGGACCTGAGGTGCGTTCCAAGTTGAATAGTTACAATATCTTTGGTTATGCTTAAAAAGTCTGCTTAAGACGCCTCGAAAAGGTCTTTTAATGTGATTGACCCCCTAATCCCATGTTTTCTATCCGACTCCTGACTAATTCTTGATTCTACCCGACAGCAAAGTGTACCACGTGCGTAGCGTCACTCAGGGTGATGTCATACGCGCCGATGCCAAAGAGATTCCGCGCATCTTCCAGCTGCTGTACGCCGGCGAGGGTGCCTCCCATCGTCCCGATGAGCAGAGTCAGCTGGATGTGAGCGCGCTGCACGGAAGTAGCAATGAGGAACGCCCGGGCACCATTGTCCACAAAGGTGAGGAGGCTGAACATTGAGGCTGATGGCATTGGACCCGACTTAACTTATCTCTCCCGCCCAACAGGTCACGAGTTCGTCCACATCACCTACCACATGCCCACGGCCTGTGAGGTGTGCCCGAAGCCGTTGTGGCACATGTTCAAGCCGCCGGCGGCTTACGAATGCAAGAGGTCAGTACTTAAGAGGGATAGTGTTTTATATTTCCACTTCGTTTCAAATGAACCCAGCCCATAATCAAATTCGCTTCAATTAAGTTATAATTGATAGACAGACCGTCTGGTTTATTATCAGCTACTTTTAATAGGTTCTTTTTATTTTTGTATGACTTTTATATTGTGAGAATGCCAGCTTAGCACAATGAATTATGGAGTTTTCCATCATTTTTTATTCTGATAACACAGAATTTCGGGAATTTGATTTAAACCTTTTTTTTTTTATTAGTATATTGTATTAGGCTATAACATATTTTGACTTCGGAAACGAATTATATATTTATTAATTTATTTTGATGTATTAAGCGTTGAATTATATTTATTTAATTATTAATTTTTATTTTTCCTTTTTTTTTATTTTTGTATTACCTAAGTTGTATTATTTTGGGTTTTGATTTGCTGACTTGTTACTGATCCCACTGCCTGTCGCTCCGTTTCCAGATGCCGCAACAAGATCCACAAGGAGCATGTGGACAAGCACGACCCGCTGGCGCCCTGCAAGCTGAATCACGATCCGCGCAGTGCCCGAGACATGCTGCTCCTGGCCGCCACGCCAGAGGATCAAATGATGTGGGTGGCGCGCCTGCTGAAGCGTATCCAAAAGAGTGGATACAAGGCCAACTCGTCCAACAACAACAGCACCGATGGCAGCAAGATATCGCCCAGGTAAAGCAGGCCCAGTTCCAGGCCCAGGACTAAGCCCTTGACGTTGCCCGGGAGTCAGCAGGCAGTCGTTTCGTGTTTCCAAACCACCCAACTACTTTACTAACTGATCCAAATTGTGTGAATCCCGTCCGACCCCAAAACAAACCCCCGGCTTTTGTGCTCCCCCGTATCTGTGCGTGTGTCTCTAATCTCGATTGGTATTTCTCTTTCTCTCTCTCCCCCACTGTCGCTGCTAACCACCATCAATGATCACTATCATCATCACCATCATGATCACTATAAATCATCCAACCTCATCACAATCCATCCATCGCCTGAATCGAATTGGCAGCCAATCGACGCGCTCCTCCTACAAGCCGTATGCGGTTAATGTGCAACGCTCCGCCACGCTGCCAGCCAACTCGTCGCTGAAATGAACGCCGACCGATCCAATGCGATCCGATCCCAGATCCCAGATGCCAGATCCTAGATCCCAGATCCCCGGCGCGGCCTTTGCAGCTGGAGCCGGGAGCAGCGAGTCTCCAGCCCCAACGAAACTAATGCTATGCAAACTGATACTGATATATAGAGAGAAAAAAAAAGAGAGAGTGAGCAACTGCAACTTCAATGGCAACTGCAACTACTATCTTAAATTAACGCTCTAAACATACATGCTACAGTAATCTAAAAATATTTTTTGAGTAATTTTTTACAAGCTAAACTAAACTACAACTAAACTGAAACTAAAACTAATACTAAAACTGTATCTTAAAGAACATGTAAAGCCAATGCAACTCGTTTAACGCTTACCTAACACATCAAACTGAATGGTGAGAAAGCTATGTAGAACAGAAGTGGCAACGTCAAGCGGGTCAGATAAACCATGGATTTGTCGCGTCGTTGTACTTTATATACTATATACAATATATAAATATAAATACGTTATGGTATTCCATGGCCTGCTATTGTATTCTATCACCGCACTCAGCACAACGATGAGAGCTGTACTTAGTTAAGTGAATCCATGTCGCAGAAATGAAGGACGTTTGAAGGAGCTGATTCAGTCGACTCCTTTTTACATCTTGATTGCCTTGTAAGAACTTTTTTTTTATACATATATTTATATATATATATATATAAAGCATATATACATACTTGTTGTTGTTGTGTAGCGAATCCGATTGGCCAAACGTTGTTCTTAGTTGTAAAGAAGCGAGAAGATAACAAATAACAAATTGCATATGAACAGAGCTATACATTATATTCGTAGAGATGTAGAGATAAATATACTCCACCAAGAGCATATCCTGTAAGCCACATGCCAGCTAACAACAAACGAATCGAGCATACAACAAACCAGAACTAAGTTAAAGCCACTTTACAAAGCTTTAACTTGTATTCCATTTAATGATCACTCTTTTTTACAGAAATAATATAGATTTACGTGTACAAGAGAAGTGGAAAACAATCAGTTACTTAAAAGGCAAACAAAATATGCTGTCCTATTCCAGTTTCCAGTTCCGATTTCAAATCGGTGTTTGAGAAATCGGAATAAGTGCATTCGAAATCGTTGGTTTCGGGCATTTTGTCTCAGAGGCAAATTCAAAAGTAAAGCCGATAAATAGTCTTTTTTGTTTTCGATTTGCGGTTTTCCCTTTGCAAAAGACTCGATGGGAACCGGAAACGGAAACGGTAACGGAATAGAGTGTCTCTAGCCATGGACAGAGCGAAACATGAATCGAAACTAAACTAAAATAAAGTAAAAGTAAACGTAAAGTACACCTAACGATACGAAATGAAAGATGCGACACAGCGTTGTGTGTAAAAGGCTACGTCTAAGTATTAAATATCCAATATGTTCTAGTTGTAAGCTAAGCAAATTATTTATTTGTATCGGCAACGGAAACGGCAGCAGCTTAGCACTCTTTAATTTGTATTCCATTAATGTTGATTTTACTTATGATTTCGAACCCGAGTTTTGAGTTTTGAGTTTTGTAGTAATTTGCGTAGTTTGTTTTACAGAGTGTACAGAGTGAGAGGCGCCAGCGCATTGCATTTAAAAGTAACGATAATAATAGCAACATTTCGAAGTTCTGGCTGGCTGGCTTTAAACATCGGTAGTCGGTTATTGTATATCGCTAATAGTCTATCGATAGCCGCAAAAAAACAGCCGATAAGTTCGGACTTTGATTTTGAAATCGAAGCGCTGCTTTCATTTACTTTGTATTTTATTTGCACTATTATTATGATGATCATTCGTATTACGTTTATGTTTAATTGTACTCTTTAGTTTAACCACGTTTGTAATTGCATTTGACCTCGAATCTTATCGACTGGCATCCAAATGGAATTGCAAACCTCAAGCAAATAAAATGATAATGTGTATAAAATCAGTATTCATTTGTTTTCTCTTGTTTCTTGTTTTTTACTTTTGGTTTCATTTGGTTGTTCCCGCATATAAGTATTCCCCCCCATATCATAGATCTTCTGGAGCAGAATATACCGACGATGAGACTGTGAAACCGCCTTAACTACCGTAGGAGTACGGAAAATTCCACAGGGATCGGAAGCAATTTATAGCCATATAACCATGTATAACGTATAACGATCTGTTTTTGTAACATGTAGTTTAAACTAGAGCTCTAAGCCCAACGGAAAGTCTGAATCAAATGAAAATGAACATGAAAACTTGCATAAAAGTGCCTTGTTTTTTATTTGGGTCCCCGTATCTGGGGGCATTAATCTAATCTGGCCCCTCAATACGTGATGGGCATGGAAATATGCCGGAGTCATCGAGAGTCCATTCTCCATTAGCTCCATTTGCATGGCAATTTGCATTTGGATGGGATCTTTATCGAACTGGGATGGAAATGGCAGCCTTTGTCCCACCGCATATTTTATTAATATTTTTTTTCAACAAGTTTCTGGCTTATGCTATGCAGCATTGCGTTGTATCTGTATATCTATCTCATTTAATTTTTTGTTTTTGCCATTTTGGCTGACATTTTGTAGTTCAAGGTGAGTTGGCCAGTCCGCCGGAGCTTGGAGTTAATTAGCATGGCCCACAGCCGCAGCCAATGCAGGCCGCGCCCCAGCCGCCAAAAAATCAACACCTGGCCGCAGAACACATCTGCAAGAGTTCAAAGCGATCGTTAGTCGGGTGTGGAAGATTAATTAGCGCCCATCAGCTTTGTCACCCATTAACCATTAGCCGTCATCGGCCATCAGCCATCAGCAATCGGCAATCAGGCATCACCCTTCAAAGCGCCCCTTGCTGCGCCCCTGGGCCAATCAGTTCAAGGCCGCGGCGAACCCACAAAATATGCATAAATATGTCTGGCTTTATCACTTTTTACAGCTTTTTAATTTGGTGCCATCCTATACCTTGATTTGGTTCAGGCCATCTCACTTAGATATGGATTTCAGCTGCATTTTGTGCTCGGTCAGAGGGTTGTTTTTATTTTAACCAATGCCACTTCAATTAGCACTTCAAAGTTATTTCCGAAATATAATCATCTATTTGAATAAGAAACTATTCATTATTATTTAAGTTGAAAGATTAAAATTGACTGATTGATTTTACACACTTTCCAAGGTTTTGCATACTACATTTTTACACATTTATTGACGGTTTATAAACAAAACAATATTATCATAAGTTGAAATCCTATTTATTTAAAATTAAAAAAAAAAAGTGATTTTTTTTATTTTGAAAACTTTGATCATTTTATTTAATATAACCTTGTTTAACTATTTAATTGCTCGGTAGAGGATCTATGATTTTCTTATGGCGAGGGTTTACAGAACAATACTTTTTACCGGAGTGAGTATAATTGAATCCCATACATTTTTATGAATTAAATAGGAAGATATCCATCTTTGTTTATCTAGCAATGGAAACATGATCTAAAGTTCGATTGGATAGTGCTTAAAATTAATTTCATAAAAATTTTGCTATTGAATTTAAGAATTCGCCCAATTTGGATTAAATGGTATGTGTTAGTTCCCATTGGGAATTCAAGGGTGTGATCTTTTCGCAGATGAACTCAAAGGAAAATAAGTTTTTTTTGAGGGTATCCGTATTTCGGTGTCAACTGGCTTGTCTGACCCCTCACTTGGTTTCTGTGTGTTTCTTTGGCTGATTTTTAATCGCGAACTGCGAGATTTACATGCGGGACAGATGTGCCCTGGGTTTTTGGGGGACGGGGCTTTGTGGATGGGGGATGGGGGATGGGTAGCCCGATCGGGATTTACCAGATCGGCAAAGAGCCAAAACAACAATTGGCATAAAATCAATAAATTAATTAATAAAATATACAAATTGCGATCGGCGGCCAGCGTCGCAGTCGACGTTGAGTTGGCTCGGCTCGACTCGACTCGGATTGGATTGGCTTGGCTTGACTTGGCTTGGATTGGAGTGGATTGGGTTCGAAAAACCTGTCATAACCAGAGCCCAGGCCCGTGACAAATTGGCTCCGAAAAACCAGAAGTACTCCTGCAATTTCAGCCAGCATAGATCGACCGTCGGGGCGCATTGGCACACAGAAAAAAAGGCAGCATGTATTTACCTTTTCCAGATCACTTTCATATGCAAATAATTGTAAATGTAAATGTAAAATTTGGAAAACGATGACCCAAAAAGAAAAGGAAAACACAATTTTCTCTGTATGAGGGAAAGTGCGGGAATGTTTGGAATTAAGCTTTGTGTGTTAGTCGACATAAATGTATTCAAAGTACTGTCATAGAATACAGATGGGAAAATAGGCTATTTCTACCTATTTTTTTTATATTTCAAAAAGTAAAATAAATTAAATTGTATGTTATATTTTATATATGTTATATGTTATATATTTCGAAATAAAATCAGTTCAAATATTGATCGTATATGTATGTAAATATGATAATACCTAGATAGTTGTTTGAAATATGGATGGTTTAAAAACACCAAAGGAATGCTTAAGAATTCGCGTGTTTAGTTACCTAGACTTACCTAGATTGATCAAGTAATGGCTGTTATGCCGGTACAGCTAGTCATAACCCATCGAATTTTCTTTCTGTGCAGCGGCAGAGCTTTAAGCGAAGGCGGAGATGGAGCTGGAGTGGCGGAGGAGGAGGAGGGGGAGGAGGAGGCGGTGGCGGTGGCGGTGGCGGTGGCCACGGGTTGGAGGTGCAGGCGGCTTGGCTAGGGCGGTCTGAACCTGTTGCTCTGTCGCTGCCGCAGTCTCCGTCTCCGTCGAAGTCTCCGTCGCTGCCACAAGAAATATTGGATGGCCGTAGGTTAACTGTGTGCACACGGCATAAGTAACGTTCAGTCTGCCTCTAGAAGTCGATCGTGATCGTGGCCAGTCAGTTCCGCTCGCTAGCAGAGAAGCCGAGAAGCCGATACCCTCGTTTCCCCCCCTTTAAGCATACAAGTGTTTTTTTTCTAGTTTAAGTTTAAGACGCGCGCGCTTCGAGTTCATTTTCGTTGTTGGTCCAAAACACCCGCATTAAATCACACACACACACACAACACACATAAAGACAAAATGAAGTACTTCAACATGTGAGTGATCCATAAATATAAATTTCATTTTTATGATTTTTTTTTTAAATATTATAAAGTGACTGACAGCAGAGAGATACAATTTTTTTTTTGAGTGATGATTTGAATATTGGTGTATTTGGAATGTTTATACACATTTTCAGGATTTTAAGGATACACAAAATTACATTTTATAGTAAATTGATAGCCTGAAAGACTTTTACAAAAAAAACAATAACAGAGCTTTAATCTTAAACGATACTTTCTTAAAATTAATTTTTTTCGAATAAGCCATGACATTTGCTTATGGAAGGTTAAATAATATGGAAAATATAATTGAAGCAACATTAGTTCCTCTTTTTGATAACTCAAATTTCTTTGGGGTAATCTTAAATTTCTCTGTGTTTTTTGTATTTTTTTTTTAATTTACCTGTGTTGCCAACTGTCGAAATCGCCTCGGTTGCATGCTGCAGGTTGACTTGCAACCTTTTTGGGGCACGACCACATGCAGGTGTAAGCTCGGCTTAATGCCAATTTGAACTTTAACACGCCGCCGCTCCAAACTGGAACTGAGCTGCTAAAAAGCGAAGCCGCAAATGCCAAAGTTTCATGATGATGATGATGACGATGATGATGATGCCGCATTCGGCTGATGAAGTTGTCACGGGATGTGAGGCTGGCATTTTGCCGGCAAAGAAATGGCAAAAGTTAACTTATAAGGCGATGATTCGCATGGAGTGGGGGTTGCGGTGGTGTGGGGGGTGAGCGGGTAAAAGTGTTTCAAGGTCGCCGGCTGATGCGAAAGCCAAACCCCAAACCCCAACCACCCCGTTGGCCCACCACCTTTCCTGGACTTTCCGCAGCTGCAGCAAATTAAGTGTATTGGATTAATTACCAGACGTGCCTGCCGCTGCGGTTGTCTTATAAATTAACGGTTGCATTTTTAATGCGAGCTGACAGACAGACCGCACTCACGGCGCATATCTGCATGCATTTATCGCCGCATAAATGCAATACCATTCGGGTCGGGTGTGTAATATATGTATATATACACCTATGTGTGTACCTGCACACTCGCATATGTATGTTAATCGCCGCGTTGGATGCGGGAATTAATCACTAGAGGAGAGGTGGAGGCGCCAGGCCGACGCCAAAATCAGGACTTTCAGTTTGGTTTCGTTCCATTTCGTTCGCCTCGTCTCGCCGCATTATGCAATTTGTATTTGTGTTTAAATTTAAATTTATATATATTGAGGTAAACAAATACGCGGCGATGCCTTCAAGATTCAAGATACAAGTTTCAAGGACTTTGAAGTCTCAAATTGGCAATGTGTTGTACGTGTGTGTGAGTAATATGCACTTCATAGGCCAAAGCGAATTCAATGCGAGCCGAGTCGAACAAAAACATAAACACCACTCTGGGCCAAATCAAAAGACTTAGGCAGCGAACTCGCTCAATTTGGCATGCAGCCAGCTACAGCGGCTAAAGAAAAATGGAAACAACAAAAAGCAAAACCAAAACACGTACTTGGCCAACTAACAACGACACAATGCACCGTTATTGAACCCACTTGCCTTAAGCCACTTGGCTTTTTTCGCCTTAATTTTAAACAACTCTCCACCCCACTCCACTCGCTTCAACTTGATCCAATCCAACGGCAGCAATAAAAGCAGTTACAATCAAATTGAATACGAATTTGAATCCGATTCGGTGTCGAATGTGCACGTTTGGCCTGTAATAAGTGGCTACACATATGTGCCACAAGGGGCAGGGGCAGTCGGCGGTGGGCAAGGGGCAGAGGGGGCAGGAGGCAGGTGGCTGGGACAAGGGGAGTTAACGCGTAATGAGGGCGCCAGGGCAATTAGAAAACGTGCATGGCTTAACTGAGGCAGGTGTCGCATTTGACGGGAAAATTGACTGATCAATTCGAGCCACCAGCTCAAGATCAACACTTTGTGGAATGCCAAAAACTAATGCAAAATGTAACCCTTTTAATTATTGGTGTTTAAAAACAATGAATTTGAGCAATGGGCCCTTCTTTGAGTTCAAAATATTTTAACAACATCAAGATTAAAGCTATACAAAACGTTAAAACTGATAAAGTTGCTTGAAATTGTAAAACTCAAAATTATACTGTAGCTTTAACAATGTGTTTTAAAATAAAAACACAAAATAAAAACAAATGTATTCATGGGAACTTAAAAACCGAGCCAATTCTTTAAAGTACTGGGGTGCCGCGAAAATGTATATGAACACAGAAATTTGTAGTTTTTTGGTTACAAAATCCCTTCAAAATGTTTAGACGGATTCCTTTTGGTCGACCTTTAGAGCAAAAAGTATAACTTTGTAGTATTTAATTTTTTGTTTTTGTTCTTTGGGATTTGATATTATTTCAATACTATGAAATTACGGTTTAAATTAAATTAAAATCTAACATCTATATCAATAGCTCTCATAGCTAAATCAAAAAATTTAAAACAAATAAAAATAAAAAAATATATATTTTGCTGTTTTTCTATTTATCAAAATATTCCTTTGAAATATAGTATTTATTTACTATATCAGAATTACGCTTGCCAAAGGTTGTTTCCTTACTTGTTATTGTATAGTTAGAAAGAAACCATAAAACCTAATTAAAATTTAAAAGCCAAAAATTAAATACTTATCCAACTTCCGTTATTTTAATGTTTAAAAATCTAAGTGTTTATGGCGCATAAATTATTTAAAGCTATGGAGGTTATATCGAGGTTTCGATTTCCATATCCGCAGTAGGCCCAATGACGCCATCCCATTAAATCGAACTAAAAGCTAAGAAAACCATAAGTAAAACCAAAAAAAAAAAATGAAATAAATAAAACAAAAACAGAACGGCGGAAAACAAAAGCGAAATAAAATAAATTAAAAGTCAAACCAATTTGTTGACCAAGCTCTCAAAGAGGATGATGATGATGATGAGGCTGCATTAAATAAGTGGTTCCGCCTGCCCCACGAAATTCTCGCCAACGCGATGCTTATCATAAATCCGCAACTAATGTCGGCTTATATAACCGGCTGACAGCGACTGGAACCGAAGACGCTACTCTACGCTACAGACGGCTTACAAACAAGCCCACGGCTAGAAATGTGCCCGTCTGAAGTCCGCAAGTCCGTGTACGGTGTACGGTGTACCTGAGTCTACCTGTCTACCTGTCTACCTGTCCGCCGGTCCATGGAATCGTTGTGGGTGTGGGTGCGGGTGTGGACTGGCATCGTCTTCGATTGTTCCCGTTGGCCAATCCAAAGCGAAACCGGTTGCGCAGAAGCTTGGGCCCTAGTCAAATGTCAGAAACCAACATCGTTTGGAGACACTTCTTTTGGGAATTCAAATAAAACCCCACACAGAAAGAAATTAACTCGACACCAAATCTAAATATATACATATATTTATATTTATTTAACATAATGGGCTAGAGTACAACAATTCTCATCGCAGCCCAACGAATATAGCTAAAAAAATAAAAAGTATTTGTAGGATTCATTGTACATTGAAATGTTTTAAAACATAATTTTAAAACATATATTAATTCGGCTCTTAGAAATACATCTAATTTACTATTTTTATTTACAAAAATTGTAAATAATATATAATTTTTAATACATATGTATTTTGTCTATATTCAAACGATCATTAAGCGATGTGGATTAAAAGCCTATAATATACAAAATGTGCAGTTGGCAACGCGAATTATTGGTCATAATTTGCATCCCCTTTCCATCCGTTTTAAGATAAATGTAAAAAAGTTCCCGATCCATAATTAAACATAGCCCAACCTGTCATCGTTGGTACTTTAAATATTGCTAATATTTTATTGAAGGAAATTTAAAAACAAATTCAAATAAAAATAATATTAAACAAGACAAATTTAAACAGAGAAGTCTGTTAAAAAATACCTTGTTATGGTAATCCTCAAATCGTGACCCATTAAAAATGCAAGACATACTGGAAAGGGAAAATCATGGGCTCAGCCCCTTTGGAAATATTTCTGGGCACGCCCCTGCTAACGGGCAATGAGTTGGGTCGCAAATTTTGGATGGGGCGAGCAGAGCCGTTGGAGAGTTGCAGATGCCAGGCACGCACCCACAAATTCAGCCCACGCCTTTCACCTTTGCCAGTTGCATAATCCCCGTTTAACTGGGCCATCCACATCCACATCCACAGCCACATCCACATCCATATTTACATATATCTATATCCATATCGAAGCCATCAAATCAGTTGACCCCAAAAGCAAATAAATCCCATTGGGGGAAATGCAGCATGGCTAAATGCTAAGTAAAAGAGTAATATAATATATAAATAAAATAAAATAAAAACGAACAACGGTGTTGGCTAAAAATAAAACTTGGCTTGCACCGTTATTAGCCAACTGCCAACTGCAGTGTGAGCGCGCACTTAAATTTATTCTGGCGTGGTGCTGGCTGCCAACTGGTTTCCCACTTGGTTGTTGACTGCCTTTTGCATAAGCACCTGTTTCCTTTGGCCACTCACCGCCCCCCTTGCCCCTCCCTCTACCCCTTTAACGGCCCCCCCAACCCACCCCCTTTCCAACAACAAAGCACTCAACTTCGACGTTGCCTAGGAAAGAATTTCAAAACGAGTTCGCTGCCTAAGTCTTTTGTTTTGCATAAAATATGAGCAATTGACTCACTAAAACCGCCACCGTTGCCAGTGGCAAAAAAAAATTAAATAAAACACAAAAACAAAAGCCATAGAAGCTAAGCTGAAAAAAAAGGAAAAAGAAACAGAAACAGAGCAACATTCGTTCGCATTCGAATTCGGCATTAAGGCAAAATCCATATCCAAATTGAAATCGAAAGTGAACAAACCCGTTTGCATGACCTTTACACATTAATATTTGTTAGCACATCTCGGTCCTCCGTCAGCAAGCGACATAAAAAACTAGCAAATCTTACAGGAAAACCGAATGACATTCAACAAGCGACTACTTTTTGTGTTAAACAGTAGTTTTCTTAATTTGATTTTACTTGGAATTAACTTGAAAGTTTCTTTTCCAAGAACCAATCTTGTTAAGAATAACATTGACAACACAATAATCCCAGGTTTAGTCTAAATTAATGTAGATATACATTAGCGGCTGTTCCTTTTGAAGAACATATTGCAAATACAATTTTTTCTCTAAATCTATATCCACTGTATTTTTAGAGGCGGGGACATATTTATGTACACAATATTTACGACTTCAGGTTCTGTATTGAATAACCCGTCCAACCAGACGCAAACGATCGTTAGAGAGTTTGGTTCGAGCTGGAAGTCACGAGGATTGGGTGCGTGGTTGGACAACCTTGCCCCGGGGATTCACCAGCTACCCCACAACTGAATCCCGGCCAAAACCAGTGCACAGCGGGTCAATTTAATTCAAGTCTGGAGAACATTTTTTTTTTTAGTAATCGCCTTCAAAGTTCTTGACAATTCAAGTTTTTCCAGTCGATTCTGATAATCAATGAAACATTGATCCAATAACGATTATTCAGATTGTAAAGTCAATCAGACAGAAATGATTTATGAAAAACTCTTAATCAGCATTATTAGGGTGCATTTCAAATTGAACAAACTGGATTGTTCAGTGCATTGAAATTCTACAAATAACTTAAATGCTTTGAGGCTACATTTTAATTAGTTAGTTTGTTCCGGATATCTTTTAAATAATTAAGACAAACACTATAATGTGCTTACTCTTTTTAAATTGGGAATATTTGCTGCTACAATTTAATTAAAAAAGATTTATCTGCCAACTAAACATAACTAAAAAATATTGGTTTTTATTACTTGCTTTTCTTTTATCGACTCACTAAAGTTTATCAAAAAAAGGTCTCAAGAAACCTAAGTTTCATTCAAGGACAATTGAATTTCGTTTTTTTTGGCATTGGTTTAAACTTTAGCTATTGAAAATCATTTTTTAGCCGGCATTGGCTTATAATGGCATTTTCTATGGAGCCGGTTTGACTTTTGATTTGCTTGTTCCAGTGGTGACAAAACAGTGGTTGCATATTTTTGGCCCGGCAAAAAAATATTTCCGCATCGAAACAGACGACTCAAAAATTAAAAACAAAATTAACACCACGTTTAAAAATTGATAAAAAATTGTTTTTTCCTGCTGCTTAGGTGCCAATGAAAATTGGGTTGCCCCTTTCCATTTATTCTTGCTCTATAACTAAAGGATTGGAAAGATATATAATTTATTAGGTTACATATTAAGAGTTTAGAATGAAAAAGATTTATTTTGTAGCCACTTTAAGGTCCTAACTATTTTTTTGCCTATTCATGTGGATGATTTATTAATCTATATATACTTAACCGCACAGCTGCCTGCTCTTCATCGTCTGCGCAATGTGCTACGGCCTGGTGTCCGCCCAGGACGAGGGTGGTCCGGCCGTGTCGCCGGCGAAGAGGATCGCCGCCCTGCGCCGTCCCGTTGGCAAGGCGGCCAAGGTGACCACCACGACGACACCGGCGCCGGCACCGGCGGATGCTGCCGGCGAGGGTGAGGAGTACGACGAGGAGGCCGGCGAGCACGGTGATCACGGCGAGGAGGGCGATGAGGCGGCCTTCGCCAGCTCCACCACCACCACCACCACGGAGGCGCCCAAGAAGGTCGGCCCGGTCATCCGGCCGTTCCGCTCCAACGATGACTTCCTCAACTCGCTGAAGCGCCGCCAGGCGAACGCCAAGAAGCACCGCGCCGAGAAGCCCCCCAGTCCCAGCAAGCCGGCCAAGAAGAGCGAGGAGTCCGACTCCGGCGAGCAGGAGGAGCCGGCATCCGCGCCAGCACCCGCCCCCGCAGCCAGTCCCGCCAAGGGCTACAAGGGAAATTCGGCATGTAAGTTATCGGCGAATCAGCACAGGTTTTCTCTAACAATTTTCTCAGTAAAATTGTCCCTGTTCAAAACTTTTGTTGTACAAAATCTTTTCAATTGTAAACTTGACCATTTCTTGAATGCAAGAGATTTATATTCTTTCTTGTTTTTATTGGTATTGCAACCAAAATATGTTACAATTTTATGATTTAAGCCAATCTGGCGTACATGTCGGATGAGTGATAATTCTTAGAATCTTATATTATCTTCTTAAGACTAAACTAATTCTTAAATATTTAACAGAAGAAAATAAAAATATAATTTAAATAAGATAAAGCATTTCCTATTTTATAAAGTATCTTGAAGTATCTATTCTAGGCAAATCTATCTGCTTACGTTTTCAGTAATAAAAAAATATGTTTAAATGGGTTATCGTTTAATAAAATATATATTACTCTAGGTGTTTTGGGATCACAAAAAGTAAAATAAATCCAATTCTGATTTGTTGTTTTCTTCCTCTTTTCCAGTAAGCCGTCGTAAGTTGTCTAAGCCCGCCAAGGCGACGCCCGTGGAGCAGGTGGAGGATGCCGCCGCCGAGGAATCCGAGCAGCAGCAGAAGGAGGAGACGAAGCCCAAGCGCCCCATCGGTCGCCTGGCCCTGCGGAAGCGCAACTAAGCGGGAATCCCGAGTTCCCATGCTCCATGCCTCATCGCCCATGCCACAAACAACCCCCCGGTCCTTCCCCTCCCCTACCCCTACCCCATCCTACCCATCAAATCATATGGCTAGCTATGTGGCAGCCCGATCTGCCCTTTAGTTCTTAGTTCGCAATTGATTTTTTGTGTATGTAATATATTTGTAATTTTATATTGTAAACAAAAACACGCGCACACACAACACTCACTCAATCACGCCCACGACCACGCCCACAATCCAGAGACAGCCCCATCCTCCATGTCCGTGATAAATGCGCATGTATATTTCGCGAATATATAGGCGCTTATTTGCTCGGGCACAATTATGTATTCTTCACAACCATCAATCAACCGATCAATCAATCAATCAACCAGTAATAAAAACAACAAAATCAAATACATCTTATGTGCTTTTATTTATTGGTTAACTGCAAAAATGTCTGATTTTTCCTATCTCCGCCCACATCCCAAATTTCATGTCGTTCGGACAGAATATAAAATAAAAATATTAAAACAATTTAAGGCAAGAAAGTATGCAACGATTTCTTCCAACTTAAAGCGGGTAATTAACTAAAGGATTATAGTAACATAATCACTACTCATTAACAAATGATATTAAAGGTTCAATGAATACCTATTTTAGTTTTACAACACACAATGAAGAAGCTATCAATTTTAAAATTAATTTAGAAATAGCCTTATCCTGCATGCACGCACTAAATGAGCAGAATACCTTTGTTTTTAATTTATGGGCCCACATCATGTCGTCTACGTATCAATTATACATAGGTATAGAATTTAATCAGTAATAAAAACAACAAAATCGAACATTTTTGCATTTAAATTTATTCATTAATTAATAATTACACGGGTTAAATCAAAAAAACAGAACAAAGAATGTAAGCTAAAAGATCTAAAATATTTTCGAAATCGGGAATGTGTTGATATATCTGTTTGGAGAGTTAACATTTCACACGGTTATGTATCAGATGCATTAACGTGGCGTCAATCTAAAAATGTTTTTTAAAAATATGTCCAAATTTAATATGCCCTTCCAACTATCTTCTGTCTCTCTCGTTTTCCGTGTCCACGTTTTCGTCTCGTCTCGTTTCTTTTCGATTCACACCTTCGTTGTTTCGCTTTGCTTAGGGTTAGGTTTTGTTTTTATAAAAAATATATGTGTTTATATATATATATAGATTTTTAACATTATCTCTTAGCGTATATGTATATATTCGAACAATGTTTATGGGCTTGTTAAAAAAATCAAACACACAAACGCACAAATTAATATTGACAAGAAGAGAGAGCAAAATGCAGAAAGTATTATATATATAAAAATTGTTTTTCAGAGGCTCGATGATCCGATCCTCGGGCAGATAAATGCTATATCGATTTCGATCCGAATTGGTTCTGGACTCGATTTGTTTTTGAGGCGTGTGAAAGGCACATTGCGTTCTCTTCTGGAACTTCGAGTGTTCGGTAGTGGGGGTGTGATAGTGCAGTGGCTAAATGTGGGTGTGCTTGGCTTAAATGACTTTACAATGTTTCGAGGGGCTTTCGGGGTTAAGTACAGTTGCCGAGTTGAATGTTAATACTAAAGTTTGATAGATGGATGCCTACGGGTCGGGGACCGTTGTCTGTGGGTATCTGTTCCAACCAGCTGATTGGCGTCCTGTGACTGGGGGCCCATCTATGGATGGTGGCGAGCATTCCGCATCAGCGGCACCAGCAGCGACGGCGGACCCGCCTGGCGCAGGAAGGGATGGGCCAGCAGCTCGGCGGCGGTGGCCCGCTGCGCCGGATCCCGCACCAGCATCCGATCGAGGAAGGACTGGAGGCGCGGCGAGACCTTGTGGGCGTTCTTCAGGTTCGGCGGCTGCATGTCGCGGATGCGGCGCATCGCCTGCAGCGGCGGCTCGTTGAAGAAGGGCGGCTCTCCGTCGACCATTTCGATGACCATGATGCCCAGCGACCAGATGTCCACCTCCGGACCGTAGGGCAGGCGCGAGATGACCTCCGGCGACATCCAGTACGGCGTGCCCACCAGACTCTTGCGCTTGGGCAGCTCTTGGGACACCTGGGCGCAGAATCCAAAGTCCGACAGCTTCACCCGTCCATCAGCGGCCAGCAGAATCGAATCCGACTTGATGTCGCGATGTATGACGCCCTGTTCGTCGTCGGAAGCATCAGAAGCATTGAAAGAAACGGAAAGAAGGGAAATTGGTTAAAAGTGCTCAAAGTTTGCGGTTTCCCCCCACCCAATGCCCTTTCTCCCAGACACTTATCGCATTACACGAGCCAACGTGGGACAGAAATGCACAAAAGAAACCAGCGAAACCCTGTAACGCCCAAAAAACTATCTACCTTGGGAAATTGTATACCCCTTACCTACACTATATATATCTAACTGGTTCAAGAGCTTTAGAATTTATATTGAAGAGATTACAAATTACTAGTTTATGGATTTAATGTTTTAGGGATTTACTTTTCCAGTGAGTGAAACCTATAAAGGAAAGCAATACATTTATCAAGTCAGACTTTGTATATGTATGTTCCAGATAGTGGGCTTTTAAAGGCAAAACTATTAGTTCTAAAAGGATTAATTTTGTTTCACTAATCTTTAATTTGAGAAGACTAATTTAAAAAATGTAACTTTTGAGTTAACATCAGACAGTTGATAAGCGAAACTTCTTTAGAAACTTCCTAAAGATACAAAAAATGGGAAATTATTGGTTTAAAAAACTTAACCTGGAAATAGGAGCTCAACAGCAATGTCTGCCAACAATGCTTTGGGGTAGGGCATGCACGTGTGATTTCACTCGGCATTTTGGACGTGCAACGCGACCGGTCGCCCCACTGTGCCTCCGACTACTTTTGTTGGTGACAACATTTAGAAATTGAAACCAAAGCCACGCGAAAGCGGAGGGCGAAGAAAGCGCCGCAAATGGCAAGGCAATGGCACAAAGAATCGCATGGCAGGGCTAGTACTTGAATAGTTTGGCCAGACGACAATGGAGAAGACAAACGTAGGGGACAGGAGAAGGGGGATACAAGGAACGGGGCAGTGTCATGCTGGTCACGCACCTGTGAGTGCAAATAGGCCAAAGCCTTCAAGCACTGCTTGCAGACGGTGGCTATCTGCTCCTCGTCCATGCGCGAATGGGTGACAATGTCGGTGAGGGCGCCGCCCTCAAGGTACTCCATCACCACCCATAACTCATCGTTGACCAGAAAGCTGGAGTATGTCTCCACGATATTGGGATGATGGTAGTCGCGCATGATGACCACCTCATTGAAGAGCAGCTCGCGCCGCTGCTGTTTGCGCAGGTCCATCTTCTTCACGGCCACCTGGCGACCTGCAAAAACCAATAGCATGTTTAGCAATGTTCATTGCATGCAAAGATTGAGGGCATTGCATCCTTACCTGTGGACTTGTCTGTGGCTATGCAAACAGTGCCGGTGGAGCCCTCGCCTATTTTGTTGAAGTGGTCGAGGTTCTCGCGCGGATCTCCGGCGGAGACCACCATCTGCAGGGCAGCGCGAAACTGTTCGTGGGTCAGACGCTGCTCCTGCTTGGGCTGCCCTGCCGCTCCACCGGCTCCTCCCGCCTGCTGGGCGGCACTGCTGGCTCCTCCGCTCGAACTGGAGGCCCTTGAAGCAGACTTGGCCAGGTGCTGGTGGGGATGCGGATGGGCATGCGGATGCAAGGGGTTTTGGTTCTGATCGCCAGCCTGTTTGGCCTGCTGCTGCTGATTAGTGGGATACATGGGATAGCTGCCGCTATTGCCGTTGTTCGTATGTGAGTGATTGGATCGCGTGCCACTGGCCACCGAACCCACGGGCGATGTCTGCTGCTGCTGCTGGTGGGGAATGGAACCGGATGGCAGGGCCAGATTGCTGCGATACTGCTGCAGGTTGCTCTGATTCTGATCCGTGCGCACGGCCAGCGGGCCAGTTGCTCCATTTGCGTGCACATGCTGACTGGTGGTGTAGAGCAGGGGGGGATGGGCACCGGGGGGCTTGAAGCCACCGCTGCCACCTCCCGGAGGACCTCCTGCCGGTGGACCCTCCTCCTCCGGCACCGAAGGCGGCACATTGGCCACCCGGCGCACTCGCGGCGGACTTGAGCTCCTCAGGGAATTGGATCTGGCCACATGCGAGGTCTTGGGCAGGATAATGCCGCCCGCCTCGGGGGGCAACATCATGCCCTGGGTGTTGTTCATCATGGGATGCGAACCGGGAGCCATGGGATTTGCGGCCATGGAGGTGCCCATCATCATGGTGCTGCTGCTGTTTAGCGAGGTGGTGTCCGCCTTATTGTTGTTGTGATGCGGACGCACAATGGTCTTCAGATCGAGGATCTCCGTGGGAGTGATCTCCGAGGGATCGACCAGCGGCAGTGGCCGGTTCGAGGACTTCAGGATCTGGTTGTTGCCCACAATGGAGGCCCATTGCAGGGGCAGGCCAACATATTTGTTCTCCCGCTTGTCGAAGCCCGTGTGCACACGATGCTCGAAATTGCTGGGCATCGAGATCAGCGGTTTCTTTTTCTTCTTCGAGAACATCTTCAGCGACGTCTCGGGTTTCCCGTGCTCCAAATTTCTGGCCTTTTACCGCCCTTTTTCTTTTTTCTCCCCTCTCTTGTTTTTGTTGCCCGACAATGGAAAATGCACAAACAACAAACGATGGCAACGGCAACTCCAGCAACAGCAACAACAACAACTTATTCCCGATCTCACTCACACACACAGGCACAAGCACACGCACGGACACGGGCACGCACACACACACATAGCAGCGGACGCGACTGGGAAACTGCAATTGGTGTCCAAATCGAAATCACGAATCCTCATCCAAAACCGCCAACGATTCAGTTGCATTCCACGAATATTCTTTATTGCTGCTTTTGCTAACTAAAATTTGCATCTTATTTTATTTGACGAAAAAATCAAATTTGCTGTAAGAACAGTGTGGCCAAGCAGCTTTCTTTTAAAAATATTGCATCGCTTTTGGGCGACACCACAGGCACAATTTGGATTAGTGGTGGCCAAGCATCGAAATCGGCGATATCGATGTTTGGCGGGGCGTTATCGATATTTTTCCACCTCAACTACGGGGAGCGTGTCACCGCTACCTGCGGAGTAAGTCCATGCTAACATAGTAAAAATAACAGCGTGGTGAATTTTAAGTTTAAACCCTCAATTAAATGTTAGCAACCACAAGGTTATAAACAAATTCACCAATTGATTAGTTAAAACTTGTAATTTTACAATTACATTCATAAATGAATTATCTTTTTAAACTTTGTACGAATTTTAAATTAGTCCTAGTCTTTATTAAATTATAAGAAAAAGTTCTGTTATATATCTTTTGAATTTAATTTTCACAATGTTTAAAACATGTATGTTTTTAAAATTCTATTATTTTAGGATGATTTATTATTTAAGAGTTATTATTTCGCAAAAAGCTATAATTATCAAACCATAAGCTCGTTAAATTATATTTTTTCAATAATTCTTATGTCGGCAATAGACTTTAGCATAAAATCTTCAAAATTACACTATAGATATTTAATACAAATGCTGAAATACCTATAATTCGGTCTTTTAAACTTAAAACCTGAAATTAAATATTAGAAAAACCACTGAAAAACTCCAGAGCCAAAATAAATGCACAGCAAAGTTTAAATTATCATACCGCATATATTTACTTATTTACATTATGATACCTTTTCTCTCTCAACATTAAGACTTCTGATTTCCATTTCTGTTATCGACTTAAACATGATCAATTTAAAATTATAATAAAATATTTAATGTTTTTTAAATATATGTATATAAAAAACATGCATATAATCGTAACTGTTTCCGGTCTCCATCTCCATCTTCGCCACCCGTCTCTCTCCATTTCCACATTCTCTTATCTGTTAGCTATAGGTTCTGTTTGTTTACGTTGCTAGATAGTTGTTGTTTGCTTTAATTTGTTGGCTTTCTACCTTGGCTGCTGCACATTGTGGTTGCACTCCCCTGGGCAACACTAAGGTCGTATGTATTGTATATAAATCTAAAATCAATAACAAAAACTAGGACTTAATGCAATCGTACACGTCTCAGGCTGCAACCATTATTTTCTCAGCTCATCGGCTGATCACTCTGCGTTCGAAAATTGTCTAAACAGATGATGTTACTTTAATATATGTATAATATAATGTAGTTTACTTTTTGCGCTATTCCTTTTTTCCGCATCTGTTGCAGCAGTTTACATTCGCTTCTTTACATTTTCACAAAATAATTATTACATAATTATCGTTTAATCATTATAATCAACAAAAAATAATTAATTAAAAAAATGTATTCAATATTAAATGTAGACACGATCGGCTTAATTGGCGCGACCAGTGCGTGAATAAACCAACTAAATTGTTTTAATTTGCAATCATTTATAAGTAGTGCGTTATCTTCGTGATTCGCATGTCCACAAGGACATGCTGGTTGATCGGTTTCATCCAGGTGTTTGAGTCTCAGTCGGAGACTTGGGGTGTCGTCTCGCCGCAGCTCCTGCGCCGCACTAGCTTGTAGCGACTCCTTAGCACGTGTCCACTTGCTGTTCCAGCTCCAGCTCCTGCTCCTGACCCTCCGGTTGGGTTCTCCTCCTGGTCGCCGGCAGTTGGCTTGCGACCAATTCTGCTGTTGAATTTGTTCCGTGTCAGTCGCTGGGTGCTGGCCGTTGGCCGGAAGGCGAAGGGTGGTGTTGCCGCTGGGGCATGACCACCGCCATCACCTACTCCAGTACCCTGTTCCGTTTGCCGTCCTCTGCTCCTGGTCGATCCTGCTGCTCCGATCTCAGCGTCCGTGCTGCTCCTGCGCACAAAGCGGTACTTGTTCACTTGGTACAGCTTTAGCTCCAGCTGCTGCTGCTGGTACTGCTCGTTGAATCGACGACTCCGTCTCTGGACCAGGCCTTTCATCCTGCTGTTGCTGTCCGCTTTGGCTTGTTCCTCCCCCTTCACCGCAGCGACCTCCTTTGCTGTGCGGCCTCCTCCTCCTCCTCCCACTGGCACCCCCAATCCTATTCCTAATCCGATGGCGGCCTCAGCAGGTGCAGCTGCTATCTCGACGGCCGACTGCGATGCCATTTCTACCGGGGCGGCAGGCGGCGCATGGGAGCCCGAATCTTGCGGCGCGCCATCTGCGAATTCTGTGCCGAGTTGCCGGCGGCTGGCGGATTGAAGCTGCGGATTAATCATTGATTAGTGTCACGTTCAAACAAAGATTTCCTAGACATCTGCAGGCGGCTGCGTAGCGAGTATATTCTTTCTTTTTAAATCTTCACACAACCGCAAAGTATAAAAAATGAAGTTAACAAAAATATTATGGCAACGAAATGGCAAGTGCTATGGACAAAACGAAACAATGGAACACACAAAAAATAGAAACACGAACTGTAGTAGTGGAATATGACAATCAGATGGTCACAAAACATCAAAAATCTTATATCCTATTTAAACAGAAATACATATAACATCTAGAAAGTGCAATACACTCCTATTCCATTATGGAATCGGATGGGAACGGAACATTTAAAGGCAAGATTAAGCAAACAAATCAATTTTATCTTTGTGGTGATCAATCCAGTCCTGATAAAATGTTAAATGTTTTAGTGACCATTGATTTAAATATACATATATTTAAATGGGTCAAATATTTTTGACTTTCTTATACACAGTTAAATTAAATGTAATTTTATTAATTAGAAAACATTGATAATTTAATTTTTTTGAGTTTTTGAATGGCAAAGTATCAGGGATATAAGGGATTGTAGGGCCGTCTTAGAAATATCTTGCAACCGAATTTCCAACAGCCTTTTTGATTGACTTTTAGTAGGATTTTTGTTGGAAGTGATTTCTAGGACACCCTCGTTAAGAATTTCAGATAAATGGCAAGCCCATTTATATCGCCACCGGCTTCGTTTATCTGTGTTTTCGTTATCTCAAAATATTTTAATTGAATATAAGTGGTGTTTAAAGTCCTGTGTAAAAATCACTTTACTTCACATTAAAATAATTTTCATCTATATTAATATTAAACAATAATCATTCCCAAACTTCATGGATCTATTTTCATAAAATTCATCGTTTATAGTATATGTCTCTTCCAAATGTTATTGTAACTTCTGTGAAAATATGGTTAAAGATTTCATCTTCCTTTTTTAACTTAACAAAAACAAAACAAACGCACATAACAAATGCCTTACAAATTAGTTAATCGTAAATGCAATTATAAGGTTAATAATGCAGCTGTGTTTTTTTTTTGTATAAACGCATGGGGTGAAAATAAAAGACGGTGTGTGTTTGTGTTGGTAAATTAGCCAATTGAAAGTGGGGAAGAGGGAGATAAAAAAAAAGATGCTTGATCCTCTCTTGCCCGTTGCCTATCTCGCTCGCACCGATTTTGGGGGGATAGGGGCAGCAGCCCATAAACGGATCACCCGTCTCTGTCTTACTTACGCAAATATATTGGCTGGCGCTGGGGAACCGGCGCTAAATTGGAACGGTGTATTGGCATTCGGCGTTGACTGCAAGAAGAATATTTTTGGTTTGTTTTCCTTGGTAAATTTGTTTTGTTTTGCAAGTAATTTTCATAAGCGACGGTTCACGATGGTTGGTGTAGTGTTTATTTTTTTGGGGAAGTTATTTACAAAAAACTTTTAATCACTCTAAATAGAGTGCAAAAGAAATTAAATTGCTACATGAAAAATGAAATATGGTGTGCACTAGGTGCGTCTGTTTGCGTGAGTGGGTGGGTGGGGGTTGGGCTCTTTACGTATATGTGTATGTGGGTGAAGGGTGCTAGTGTGCATGTGTGAGTGCTTGTCAAAATATTTCGCTAAATGCATGCAAAACCTCACATAAATTAATTGGCACATCGAACACAATCCAATTTAAATACGCTAAAAAAGTTTGACAAGCCCTGCGACACATGCATTTTAAGACGAAGTTCAATCGCTACGAAAATGGGGCTATGGCTAAACTATGTAAGCATGCGGATAAAGTTTAAGTTAAAGATACATAAATGAAGCATGAATGATATATGTAAGCACGATACAATGATGTATGAATGTAGGTTTATGGATTTATATACTAGGGACTGCCGAAGAAATCTCTGACAAACTCATTTTAAGAGAAATCTAGTTTCGAAATTAATTTAGTACATTTTGTACATACATTTGGAATATTTACTATTGTTTTGACATTAAAAACATAATTCCAAACATATTATTTCTTCCATTATTGGTTAGTATACAAATAAAAATTTTAAGATGCATTCGACATGTGAACCAAAGAAAAAAATTAAGCTGAGAAACCTCTTGAAAATAAATGATGTAATAATCTATATTCAAATATTTAAAAATACACCAAAATCATTCAGAAATCACATTGTATAACTAACTATCCAAATCAAATTGTATAATTAATTAAACAAAAGATAAAATGGAAGCCCAAATTAAATATATGAGTTTACCAAATAAAAAGTCTGATAAACTAACAAACTAAACATACTAATAAATAAAGTTCAATCTGTGCAGACATTCTTTGGCATTCCCTATGGTATACATCGATGCATTTTTTAGTGGAGATTAGCAATCGGGTATTGTGTTATTCGAGTCGACGGAACTCTCTGCATATTGACGATGACTTCGCATTACCTGCATCTGTGGCGCTGCGGCGTTAAAATTGAACATGGGCGCCCCGCCGGAGGAGGAGGTGGCTCCACCCACTCCACTAGCCTGGTTACCAATCGTCGCCGTCGCTGACGAAACACCAAATTGGAAGATGCGCTGCTGCGGCTGCGTTTCGATTCCGATTCGGATTTTGTTTCCGATTCAGGTTCAGATCCATTTGGTTCATTTTCATGTTTATTTAGTGGGTGGTTCGTAATCATAGTCGTGGTAATCATAATCATAGGTGGTAGTAGGATGAATGGTAGTAAAGTTGGTTCGTGCCCGTGCCCACAAAGTTTTCAGTTTTCAGTACAGAGAGTGTACATTAAGATTTATGGAAGTTGCGTAGTTAAGGAGTATACATAAATTACATGGTATACAACAATATTTCAACAGTAACAACACGCACGATCGTTTGTGTGTAGAAGGGGTTGTGGAAAAAAGATAAAAAGAAAAGGAGAGAAGAATACAAATAAATATATATGTATATATACGTAGATAATTTAAAAGGTCAAATAAATATATATGTAGATAAGTTAAGAGTTAAAACAAATACAGTAAGTAGTTCTAAATCAATATAATCAGTCAGATATGTTAGGAGGATCGATCGATTGTTAGGCGCTTTGTTATCATCGCTATAACGGTGGCATGCAAGACGGGAACTAAAAGGGGAATATGACGGACAGCTACGACTACAACAACCGCAAACAAATTTGCATGGATGATAGTGAGAGATTGTTCATCACATCGAGCTCTGCTCCCATCGATCACCTCTTGGATTTTTAGGGATAGTTTGATAGTCTGATTGTTGGTCAGGTGGCTATTGAAAACTGAATGGCAATCATCTACTTACATCGCCGCCGGAAAGGCTGGTGGCCGCCGTGTTGGCCGAGAAGTTGAAGGATGTTGCCTGAGGAGTTGGAGTCGCCGCGGAGCCCGTAAAGTTGAACGCAGGTTTGATGGGCGGTGCATTGGTGGTGGTCCCGAATTTAAATGGTGCACTAGAGGGCTGCAAAAGTGACGAACGATTAGAAATCATAAGTAAATAAAATTGATTACTCTCAGCCCGAATCTTTAAAATATCAATTCCATTTGAATCGGTATAAAAAATATATTTTAATAAAATAAAAAGTTTCTAATAAATACAATCAAGTAGAAATAGTCCTCTTGAATTTGAGACTACTTTTTTTCTTTACTCACAGCTGGAGTGGTTGCATCTGCTCCGCCAAAGTTAAATGCTAGCTTCGATCCTGGTAACGCTGTGTTGGCCGACGCTGCAGCTGCTCCGAATCCCCCGCTTGTGCTGGTGCTGCTGCCAAAAACAGGCGCCGCCGCGGCAATTGGCGTGACATTGCCAAAGATGTTGGCCAGCGGAGCAGCGGCTGCGGGCGCGGTGGCTGCCGGTGCTCCAGGTGCCACCAAAGAGTTGCCCACATTCCCAAAGACTCCGGTAAGGGGTCCATTTCCACCCAAACTGGCTGCCGCTGGCGTGGCTGCCGCTGTTGTCGCCGTCGATCCGAAGGGTGAGCTGCTCGTGCTGGTGGTGCTGCTGCTGGTGGCTCCAAACATGGAACTGCTGCCAAAGACCGGAGTCGCCATGGTGGAGGCCGAGGAAGATGACACTGCCGCACTGGTCACTGCAATGCTGTTGTTTTTCGCCGCGGCTCCATTGCTTGGCCAGCCAAAGCTGGGCGATGCCATCGTTCCCGATCCGGAAGTGGATCCAAAGGCGAATGGCTTGGTCGCGCTGCTGGTCGAGGTCTCAGCCTTCTTATCTCCCCAACTGCCAAATAGCTGCGGGGTCGTGGTAGCAGCAAAGCTTGGCACGACAGCTGCGGTGCTGGTGGTGGTATTGCCACTAAAGCTGGAACTGGAGCTAGTCGCGGTGGTTGCCGCTGACCCAAAGATGGAGCCCACGCTGGTGCTGGCTGGTGCCGCTGGTGTGGCAGCCGGTGTCTGGCCAAAGAAGAAAGCTCCAGCGGCTTGGGTGACAGCCGGTGGCTTCGCCTGACTTCCAAAGCTAAATCCGCCAGCTGGAGCAGAAGCTGAGGTGGCCGCTGCTGGAGCCGGAGTAGCTGTGGGTGTCAGAGCAAAGGCTGTCGTAGATGTCGTCGTTGTTGTTATGGTATTCGAGGAAACACCAAAGCTCAAAGCCCCAGCCTTGGGCATCGGAAGCTGGCTACTGGTGCTGCTCACCGCACTGCCAGCTCCCGATCCCGCACCTGAAAAACTAAACATGGGCTTGACAGCCGTGGGGTTCGCACTAGAGCTGGCCGTGGAGCTAGACACAGTCGAGGATGAGGATGCAGAGCCAAAGCTAAAGCCTCCTAGAGCAGGAGTGGTGGTGGTTGTGCTGCTGCTGCTAGTGGTAGTGATTGAGCTGGCTGTGGTCGTAGTAGTTGGGGCTTTGAAAACAAACTGGAGGGCTGGTGCTGCAAGTGGAGCTGGTCCTGCAAGTGGAGCTGGTGCTGCAAGTGGAGCTGTTGCTTCCGTGGTGATGGGAGTGGCCTTCGTTTCCTTTGAGTCCGTTTCGAAGCTCACCGTCTTGGGCTGTTCCACTTTGCTCACTCCAAACGTGAAACCCTTCGTTGGTTCCGTCTTCTTGCTGTCCGCCACATCCTTACCCTTGTTGGTCTGCCCGAATCCAAAGCTGAATTGGGTAGTAGCTGCTGCGGGAGGGGCAGTAGTGGTTTCAACAGCTGGTTTGACCACCTCTTTCACAGTCGCAAATCCAAAACTAAACTTGGGCACCGAACTGGCGGCGGAGTTCGTCGCACCGCCGCTGCCGGACGAATTGGAGACCACGGATGATGAGGAAATGGAGCCGGTGGCACCAGGCTTCAGTTGCTCGCAGCAGATGCACTTAATTCGCGACATGTCATTCTGCGCCATGCAGGCATCACAGTCCCAACTAGCTGCCTTTTGGGCTGCCACCAGCTTTTGAAATCCTGCATCTGGTTTGGCCGTCTCGGCTGTTGACCCTGGCAAGAAGCCAGTGTCGCTCGAGGAGCCAATGCTGTAGATTACCGGCGATGACGTGCCCGAAGTCCTGGCCGATGACCTGGCGGGGGAGGGCGCGGCAGATGACGAAGCGGATGATCCAGAGGATGACCCGGATAATGATCCGGAGGAAGAAGTCGAGGAGGAGGACGATCCGGAATTACTTCGGACTGATTCGCTGCCAGCGTTTCTCGCTTGTGAATTCGGCGTCTGGCAGGCGATGCACTCGGCGGCCTCAGACTTGTTCATTACCAGGCACGTCTGACACTCCCACGTGTTGGCCTTGGGTTTGAAGGCCGTACCAAAACCTGATCCCGAACTCAAATTGTTTGTGACCAGGGGAAAGTTGTTAATCTTCGGCGCCGCAGTCTTTCGGGGTGTTTCGCAGGCAATGCACTTGGTGGCTTCCGCTTTGTTGGACAGCATGCATGCGTCGCACTCCCAGGCAGTCGATGATTTCTTGAAGCGGTCTCCAAAGCCACTTCCCAGTGGCACAATTGCTGGCGTGGATGGTGGTGCCTGGGCAAGAGCCGGAATGGCTCCCGGTTTGGCCGTCTCACAGGCCACACACTTGCTGACCTCCGCCTTGTTGCGCACCATGCATACATCGCACTCCCACTCCTTGGAGGACTTCTTAAACTGCTCACCGAAACCCAGTGGTGGTGCTCCGTTCATCGTTGGCTGCGGTGGCTGCTGCACCTCGTCCAGTGAAGCTGGCGCCGGGAAGAAGTAATTGCGCCTGACGTCCAGGTGGGCCACACAGTTCTCCCGCGAATCCGACAGTGGCGTGGGCTCCGAAAAGCTAAATGTGCGTCCCACCGACTTACTAATTGGGGCAACGCTTCCATTGGCAGAGAAGTTTACAACGGGAGCCGTTTGCTGCGGATTAACTAGGAAGTTGGGTAGCTGCTTGGAGTTTGTAAAGATGTTGCTGCTGCTGCTCTTGTTACTTATGGTTGGGACCGTGGATGCCGGTTTTGAAACCACTGGCGCCGTCGGTTTAATAACCAAGTCGAACTTTGGGGTGCTGGCCATGTCTGGGAAGCTGATCTGTGGCAGATCCAGCGGCAAGGGTGCCTCCTCCAGATCCGCGCGTGGCTCCTTGCTGCGCGTCTGGTGTGAAAGTCGCGAACGCATCTTGTTGGTGTGGTGACTATGGCTGGCCGGCTGATCCACCGGAGCTACATATGGTGTGGTTTGATTGGCCTTTTCTTGGCTGTTTTCAGTTCGAACCCGCGTGCTCTGGTTCTGCACCAGATCCCGCGAGTTCTGGGTAACGCGGTGAAGGCGTCGGCGTTCCAGGAGCTGCTGCATCGTCGGCACCAGCAGTTTGTTAGAGCGGAGTTCCGCCAACTCGCTAGCAGGACTTTGCACCGGAACACTGCGGCTGGCGTTCTGGGAATTCGTGGGACGTGGATACGGCGTGGCCAACGTACCCTGGCGCTGCTGACGACTGCTTTGGTGCTCCTTCAGGGTGCTGCCCATGCGCTTGGCATCGATCAGCGGCGTGGAGTAGCTGTCCAGCAGGTTGAGGATTCGTAGTGTGGTGTTTGACAGGCCGGAGCCAGACTTCTTGCTGCCACTCTGACCGACAGATGATTCTGGAAGGTTGCCAGCGGCAGATGGCCGCATGTCCACAGGTTTCATGCCGTATCCTATACCACCAGTTAGGGAACTCTGCAGCGTATGCGCCGGAGAACTACCGGCTGAATTAATGGCCAATGTTGAGGAGGCGGCGGAGGAGCTCAGATTGCTGCGACTGAAGATGCGATTGTTCGCGGAATTGCCGCCGAAGGTGGTGCGTCCCTGGTAAAATGGCGAGCTGGAGGCTGATGCAGAGCCGGAGGTTGAGGCACTGCGACTTAGGAGACGACTGTCGCTCAGCGCCGAGGTGCTGCCGTAAATGGAAGCATTAAAGCGACGACGCTGGTTCAGCGAATTCAACGACCACGTGGAATTGCGGTGCGCTGGCTGGGCAGCGGCGCTGCTTCTGTTAAATATCGACTTGGTGCTCTGTAGATTGCCGTAGAATTCCAGATTGCTATTACTGTTATGATGCGATGGTCGCAGTCCATCATTGCCTTCGATATTGTCGTGGTAATCGTTGATATCGCCCTCGGACTGCGAATCTCCTCCAGCTCCTCTCTCGGCCACTGACAGTTCAGTTCGTCTCGACTTGGACTTGATGACATTGTTGTTATTATTATTATTGTTGCTAATGTTGTTGTTGGTCTTGCTGATCCTTAGTAAATGATCAAGGCGATCTCCGTCTGCACCAGTTCCCGTCTCGTCCATGGTAAGATCACGACGATTGGTTCGCTGGCCCAGAAGCGACGGTCGTTTATGGTTGGGAAGGCTGGAGAGGCTGTTGTGGCTAGTTGCTGCGCTGCTGCCTCCGAAAGGTATGTTCAACGAGCGACGTATGCTGAAACGATTAAAGTATTTCGATGAATAATGAGAAAGTAGATGGATCTGGCATAGGCCAACTGTTTTAAAAGTGACATTAACCCCAGAGCAATCTGTGGGGGCATTTCGTATGGACATTTTAGAGGGGAATATAGATGGACTGATCTAGAGTAACCTACCTATGCGGCAGATCCCCGGTACTGCCTTCGGCGGCTTCGTTGCCCGTGAAAAAATTATAGGCGGGTTCTCGTTGCCGTTGACTGCCATACAAATTGAGGTGGTTGCGCCGGTGTGGAGCCAACTGGCTGCTGCTCCTAGACCCCGTCATTTGGGGGAGGAGCTGGTAGCGGCCACGAGTGGGCCAGCAGGCGTGGATGACAATAAGGGCAGACGACGCATGTTGGGCAAGTTGACGGTGGTCTCCAGCTGGAAGGGATTACAGATTATGTGGTAAATGTAGACATGATTCGAAATATGATAACACTCACCTCCAGACGTCGACGCTTGGGATGAACGGCGGCGGCCTGCAAGAGATTCTCCTGCTCCTCGTCGTCGTCTTCCTCGTCGCCCTCGTCTTCCTCCTCCTCCAGGTCATCCTCCTCAGCTTCATCCTCCTCGCCGCCGGCAGCGGCAACTGCCTCTCGTCGCTTGCGGAGCAGGAACACATTGTACTCGCTGCGCCGCGTCTGCTCGTCCTCTGCGGCCAGGTCGTGCTCGGCTATGTTGTCGGCCAGGGCCACCTCCTCGTAATTGAGCCCTTTGGCGTCGGTGCCATCATCCAGGTCGTCTGCTGCATCCGCATCCGCTTCGGCTAGCATGATGCGACGACGTCCGCGTTTCCGTTTCGTGGCGGAGCGTCCGTTAGACTGACGTGGCTGGCGGAGATTAGCGGAGGAGGATGAGGCGGCAGCGGCGGATTCGGAGCCTCCTTTAGACGATGGCGAAAACCAGCCGCTCAGGGAGGCGGGAAGAATGCTAGACACGCGCATCTTCATCTTGCCCATGATGGACTGCAAGTTGGGATGATAACAAGGATAAGATGTGCTATTTGAAACTGGGAACACGAGTCCCAGGCGTCGACTGTACTTACGTTGTTGTTGCTTCTCGAGAGCAGGGCTCCCGCCGAGGATTCATCTTCCTCCTCCTCCTCCTCTTCGGGCAGCTCCTTTAGCGGCGTCATCGGATGCAGTTTGGCCAATTCAGCTTGCGAGGAATCCCTTTGCTCCTGTCCATCCTCCATTATGCCAATTTAATTTCGGGTTCCTTTTTAGCCGGCGAAGCAACGGCACAAAAGAGAGACACAAAAAGCCAAAAAGAAGCGCCGCCGCACACACAACAACAAAACGTAGGTAAAAAAAAAAAAAAAAGGAGCACACACTGTTGCAATTCCTGCCAGCGAGTTTGTGTGTGTGTGTGTTTGTGCTCGCTCACTCTCTCTTTCTCTCTGTCTGTGCGTGTGTGAGGGTGTGAGTACGCTTACGCACGCCGTGGTTTTTCCTCTTTTTTTAATGTAGATTTCAAACACGCGGCGATTTTTCAAAAACTATTCTGTTTGGCGCCAGAAACTGAGTGGAAATGCGTTGGCCACCCTCTTTACACACACTGCATAAATGCTGGGCACTGCAAGAGTAGAGGCGGGAAAAAGGATTTGGTACCAAATACGGGCAAAGCGTTCAGGAAGGGTTCTTATTGTTTGCTGATTCCCTTACCGCTTTCCTGCATTCCGCCTGTATTTTTCTTCTTTTTTTTTGATTGCCGGACAGCACCGCCTGTCCGATTTTTTATCGCCTCCCTTTTGTCTTTGTGCTTCTTCCGCCTCGCACACACTGCTTTCGCAATTCTTTGCTTCTCTTCTTTACACTCACACACACACACGCGCGCTGCGAATCGGTACGAATTTTGGCATTTTCCTGCGGGCAATTTGCACGCACTTGTTTACAACTTTAGCTCCGTGCCCGCAATCAGTTTTTCGTTGGCTGCGCGAACATAACGCCGAGCTGATTTGTAACAAACGAAATTAACACTTCACAAAAAAAGCACGATTTGGGAAAAAACGCGTGTGAAGTGGCGAGTAAAAATGCGGCGAGTGACAATGTGACCGCAGCAGTGGCCTCTTAAAATCACCAATGCTGACGAAAAATATACCAAAAATATACTGAAAAATTGAATCCAACGAGTCGATGCAAGCGAGTGGCGTATGTGGCGGCAAAATTTAAAAAACACAAATTCAAATTTAATTTTTTTTTCGAATGAATTTGTATAGGGTTTGTTTTTTGCAATGTACATAATCTTACATTAATAAAATTTGAATCATCCCTTTTTCAGAAGAATCACTAATCACTTAATGTCCTAAAACCGCCACGTCAAATGTTTAGAAAATAACTGAATAAAACCGGAAATGGAAATTCTTCAAAAAAAAAAATTGTATTTGATGATAAATAAAATCGATAATCCAAAACCAAGTTTGATCACATTTCGTATTCGGGATTTTTTAGTTGTAAACAATTAAGAATGGCATTCAATCCATTAAGAAGTTCAAATATTGGAAAGGATATGTATTATTTTATTTTATTGTATTTACTCAAATCGTCTTCCAAAATACAGCACAGGTCAAGAAGTTATGAGTAACCGAAAACTCTTAAATAAATTCAAAGCACAAATTCAAATTTAATAAATTGCGGCCTATAATATAGCCTCCCAATCGATATTGTCCAAGCTTATCGAACAATCGATATCAGAAGGAACAATTCAAGCTTGTTGTTATTGCGTTGCACAGGTGTTGTTGTTGCTGTACTGAACTGAGCTAACAAGTGTTAAAACTATTTGTGTAATATTATTTTCGCAATTACCTACCATTTGGGCACTCAAAATAATCCAGATTGGAGCGCAACAAACGCCGCTGAAGCAAACAGAATCGGTTTACACAACAAACTTAATCAGTTGGGTAAACAACCTAATCGCTTTGAACAGCTGGGAGTGGCTAACCACCGGAATATCTGTTAGATTTGCGCAGAAATGAGCCAAACGGAGGCAACCAACCCGCCCAAGGCGGATTCGGAGGCGGCGGATGAGGCGAGGGGCAGTGGCAAGCAGCAGCTGGGAACGTACCGGGTGTACGTGGTCACTTGGAATGTGGGCAGCCGCTTTCCGGAGAACATATCCCTCCGCCAGCTGCTGGGACTGCAGGACGTGACGGCAGAGAAGGACTCACAGGGCCACCTGCCGGACATCTATGCCCTGGGACTGCAGGAGGTCAATGCCCAGCCGCAGCAACAGGTGCTGGGCCTATTCAAGGAGGATCCATGGACGCACAAGGCCAAGGAGCTGCTCCGCGGCTACGACTATGTGGCCGTGAAGACGGAGCAGATGCAGGGACTGCTTCTCAGCATGTTCGTGCGGCGCCAGCACGTGGAGCACCTGCAGGACATCGAGGCGGAGTTCACGAGGACCGGTTTCGGTGGCATCTGGGGCAACAAGGGCGCCGTCAGCGTCCGATTCACCCTCTATGGCTGCGGGCTAGCCTTTGTGGTGGCCCACCTGGCTGCCCATGATCACCAGCTGGACGAGCGTATCGAGGACTACAAACAAATCCTGGAGAACCATCATTACCATGTCAAGCGGTACAGGGAGATCTACGATCATGACTATGTCTTCTGGTTTGGAGATCTCAACTTCCGGCTGCAAGGCGGCGACTCCTCAACGGAGGTGCGCGAACTGCTGCGCGATGAGTCCCAGCATGAGGCGCTGATCCAGCGGGATCAACTGTTCCAGGTGCGCGAGAAATCGCAGCAGGCCTTTCAGGTCTTGCACGAGCGACTGCCCGCCTTTCCGCCCACCTTCAAGTTCCGCGAGGGCACCTCCGAGTATGATCTTAAGCGGCGGCCGGCTTGGACGGATCGGATTATGTACGCCGTGCAGCCCCTGAACAGGCAACCAGGCATGCAGCTGTCCATTGAGCAGTGTTCGTACAAGTCCCACCCGGTGTACACCATCAGCGACCACAAACCGGTGACCAGCGACTTTACCCTGAAGCTCTACCCGAATGTACGTGCGCCCGGTGTGGTATTCTCTGCCTTGGCGCTCTGGAAGATTGGCGACGAGAACACCGTGGAGTACCGCAAGCAGGCTGAGTTCGAGGAGGGCCCCAACGACTGGATTGGCATTTATCCGGCGGAGTACGCCAGTTTGGCGGACTACGCAGCCTATGAGTATGTCAACCAGGCCGAGTCACCCACTTCCTCGGACTCCAATCACGAACCGGATCCGTTCGATACGCCAGCTCATCACCGAAGGGGTCGGCATCATCACAAGAATCGCCAGCGACTGCGCCGCCACCAGGAGGCCAATGCCCAGGAGCAGGTGCGTCTGGATTTCGCCGACGACGTGGAACTGCGGCACGGCGAGCAGTATCTGTTGATCTACTTCCGCAGCACCGGAGTGAGGGGCGTTACCAGCTTGGCGGGCATCAGTGGCGTGTTTGTTGCGGAGAAGCGACAGGGCTCGCCCCATCGGACGGAGTACCATGTGGACTAGCTGGTCGAGGCCCTCGACATCATTCTTCTTTAGTCTCCGCTGTGCAGATCTAATTTTACTGACCCTATGTGACCCTGTTAAGTTTGTTTGTTTGGCTGTTGACTCAGCGTCACCCCCGAATACGTTTAAATGTAATTATACAATTACCCAACCAATCATGTTTGTGTTACTACCTTTCCCACCCGACCCAGCCTGAATCCTGCTTTCGTTTGCATATGTTCTTTCTGTTCTGTTGTCATTTTGCTATTTTTATTTGTACGGTGTCATGGCACTAGATATTATTAACCGGTTTCGCAAAGGTTAAGTACGCCACTCACAGCCATATACTCGTGCTATGACACATCCGCGCACAGTGGGCCAAAAAAACGCGGTCTCAATTTGATTTTGAACCAATCTAAGGCTGGCAAGAGAACCAAGCAAGCCAAAAGAACCTGCAGTCTGAAAAGTGATAGATTTGAACATTTCCAAAGTGAAATATTGAAAATATTATTCATTTACCAATACCAAGAGATATTTTAAAAAAGATTTAAGTTAATTGTCTCAGAGATAGTTAGCTCAATGCATTCCTCAAGTGATCTATTAAAACAACAACCAGATTAGTTAAAGGGCCAAAAGTTAAGGAAAAAGTTTAAAAAGAAAACAAGTCCAAACTAACAAACAACTAAAAATGCAGCCTAAAAGGCAAAAGATTAGGAAGGAACAAAAATATCAATATTTTAATTTCTGTTTTAAGCATTTTGAAAACATATGTAGAAGTGTCAATTTTGAGAAAGCGACTTTTGATAAAAACAATTCTACTAAATATATACGGTATTGTATATCATCCTTCAATCGTTGAAGTCTATAGTTTTTTAATTGAATTCTTTCTCAATATTAATGAAAAATTATATACAACAAAAAGAATACAACAAAGAGAAAGTCTGTGCTAATACGGATACGCGATGTTCCCCCTTACCTAAATGGCAATCAATCCATAACATTTATATGACCAATTCTTGGCCAATCATAATGATATAAGAAGTGCACTTTATGATAGACCACCAAAAAGGCATTTCAATGGGTTATAAAAGTCGGAAAGCAACAGAAATACAACAGCGTTTCCTAAATTGGTGTGGTATCAACCTAAATCGGTTAAAAATAGTAATATGTGCCCACTGTGCTCAAAAAAGGGAATGCTGCATTATGCGGTCCGAAAATAAAGCATAAATTTATGCGAGCTCGGTCAATTGAAATTCGTGGGGCTTAGTAACCTTCGACAACAATTATATAACTATAACTACTTTAACCACACACCCATAAACTCTTATCCACCGTATGTAGGTATTGACATGAAAAAATATATACACAGACATATGCCTTACCAAGTGTACATTAATCAATTTACTTAATCAAGTGAAAAAATTTACAATTGTGTAGAAAAATATTTATAAATACATTGAAACAGTTTCAAGTCGACGATCGTGCGCTTGTGGGATTTCGGTTAATGATCAGTTGGAAATAATGGAATTATACTTAGTGCAATATGTAACGACTATATAAACCGATTATTGGCCCAATAAACGTTAACTAGCTAGATGAAAACGTTGCGTTGCCTTCTAACATTTTGTGTGGCTAACTTTTGTGCACATTTAGGCTCCATAAGTAAAAAATATAAGCACGATGATAAAATCATGACCTAGCTTTCCATATAAATGTTTTCAAAAATTCCTAATAAACTTGTTCGAAAATAAATTGATCCCGAATAGCGGCAAAAAGATAAACTTCACCTGTGAAAATCTTATAGATATGTTAAATTAATATCATTTATCTGGCACAAAATGTAAACGTAAAAAATAAACATTTATTTATAGCAAATAAAAGCATTTTTTACGAACTTTTCACATTTATCAGAACTTCCCTCGTGACTAACTACCAATGATGGGGGTTCCCCCGGTGCATAGATCCCCCGTATTAGATCCTCTGAAGCAGCCAAGGATCGCTGCTGACGGATACAAGTTAAGTGGGGGACGAACTGCTGCCTGGTTGTGATTGACAGTCGATTTTATTGCTATGTTCTTGATTTTCCTAATTTGAAACGTCTTTGTCGGTTAGCCCGAGGGCTTAAGGGAACTGGGAGTTAGCATTTTCTGTCGGGCGCAATCTTGGAATCGTGTTGGGTAGGAAGGTTGGGTCGACGGTGGCGGACATGGTCCAAATCCAGTTCCAGTTAATCATCTACGGCGGCAAACCAAGGGTTTTGCGCACCAGTCGACGGGCGATGGCATTGAACTCTTCTCTCCGTTCGCGCCACATAATGGCGGCATCGACATTGGCGCCGCTTTCGTCGTTGGGTTCTACAGGGGAAACGAGATCAGTGGTTTGTTTTTAGTACCAAGGAAAGACTTTTTGTTAGTGTTGGGTTGATCATGAGTAAGTGAACTGAACACATTCGCCATTGTTGTTATTTTTGGTCATTTTGTTCATTTACTCTGTGGTTCACTTTTCGCTCAGCTGTTCATTTCTTCACTGTGACCATTTTGCGGCAAATGAACAATGTAAATGAGTTCAAATAGTGAGAAAATGAGAAAAGTATCAAGACAACCAGTAAATAAATGACTTGGCGAAATGTGAAATGAACACCTTCAAGCCAGTTCTAACACTAGGTATCTCCTTACCCGCCAGCATGCTGACCACGCTGAGCAAGATCTTTTCGACGCTCTGCACGGGACTCCAGCGCTCCGCGGACAGCTCGTAGCCCATGGGATCGTCGCCGGGCGCGTGCAGTATTGATATGCAGACCCGTCCGTCGGCGAAGATGTTGGGATGGAACATATCACAAGTGAATTTCATTTTTGGCGGACTCAGTGGGTAGTCGGGTGGAAAGACGAGGCGTGCGGGAAAGACGCCGCCCTCGAAGCAAGTGCCCTCTGGTCCGCTGCAAAGGGCAAAAGGTGAGTATGTGGCCAGTGGGGCAGTAGTCCGGGGATCTCAACTCACGCAATCAGTGCCTCCCACTCGAAGAAGTTGTCCTCGCTGATGGGGCCGGCCACAATGCCCTCGGGCGGGTCGAGTGTTAACTCTGGAGAGGAATAGAGTGAGCGGAAGTGGCCATGTCATATAAATGTGCTTAGCAGTGCCGTGGACTTTGCCTTACGTTTGTATTCCGCCATCAGGCGGCGCAGCGCTGATCCAGCCATCCTTAATGTCGTCGTTGGGTCCTCCTCCGATCGTTGCCCACTTCCCACTTGCGTTCCCTTCGGCTCCTCCTTGTCCTCCTGCTCCTGCTGCTGCTCCTGTTTAAGCTCCTTCTTGTCTACGCGGCGGGCGCGCTCTTTCCAGATCTCCGGGCACGGGGTCAAATGCAGACACGTCGTAATAAACAGAAGCCTTTCCCTTCCCTTCGTTCCGTTTCGTTTATTTATATTTTATTTATATTTTATATTAGTGTGTGTTTTGTCAATGTCGTCAAGCAAAAAAACGAAGTTAACATCGATTAAAATGGATTTCTGACTTTTGCCTTCATGGCAATCGATGTTTTAGTATGGCCGTGTTTTAAAAATGTTTAATTTTAAATATTTTTGGTGTTAATAAATACAATACAAAAATGTGATTAAACATAAATTTTAAACCTTTAAAATACTTTGGATATTTAAATACCGTTTTTCGTTATAATATATTTAAAAAAAAACACTTATCATTTAACTTATATAATAGATTATTATTAAAAACAAATATTTCTCACAGTGTTTTCTCAAATATATTTTGGCGACATGAGTCTATAAAAGTTCATTTAAATTAAAAACAAATTTTGCTTAACATTCCTGATCGATACTTTTCATAGGATTGAGCACGTTATTTTTGTTTTCTAAAAATGTTTGTTAAACTTATTATTTACGTTTAGTAAAAATAATAAAAAAAAGTTATTGTGTCACTATTTTTATTTAAAGTTATTTTGTTACAGCAGTGGAAGGGTTTTATTTATTTTAAAACGTTTGTTAAAAACGAATGAATTTTTCAAAGACAACGAACGGTCCCTCTAATTTCCTCTCTAATTAATAACAAATGTGTAAAAATCCTGCAAAATAAGCCCTTAAATCATCCCGCACATTGGCACTGGGTAGCGGAGCTTGACCGCCGGCGAGGGACACTAGTCTCCGGTCCGCAAACCGGACAGGGAATCCCCTACTTGGAGCTGAAACCACCGGCAACCGGCATCTGCACCATGGTGAATAGCAGGAGTCTGCCACCGGCCAATGGACCCGTGCCGGGGGCCAGTGGAGGCTCCTCCCGCCTGTCCCTGTGCCTGATCCACTTCGTGCTCGCCGTAATCTCCGGCTGGGGACTGAAACGGAGCACCGGCAGCAAGGCGATGGCCGCATTTGGGATCTATTTTGGCCACAGTCTGCTCTGCCTGCTGCGGCACACGCATCCCAATCCGGGCGCAGTGCAGCGACTGCTGTGCGATAAGTCGAGGCGGTACTCCTGCGTCCTTTTCGTCACTTTGGTGGCTGGTGAGCTGCAGGCCGTGAATCCGGCAACACGGATGAGTGACTTCTTTGGCGCCGACTGGGAGCGCCTGGCCTTTGGACTCTGGAGCGCCGTTCTGGCCCTGGCGGTGACCAGTTTGTGGTTTGGCGGCAGTCGCACCTCGCTGGGAGCCACATTCATCAAACTGGATGCCGCCCAACTGGGCTTCTGCGTCCTGTGGAATGTCCACTGCCTGTGGCGCATCGCCCTCGTCGACGAACACTGGTGGTCACTCGGCCTGGCCGTGCTCGTCCTGCTCAACCACTTTGTCCTGTGGCGCCTGCCGCTGCACTACAACATCACCCAGCTGGAGGTGGCCACCGTGGGCATGTGCTTCAGCACCATCTTTGCGCTGAATGCGATCCAGGAGCAGCTGGACGCAGTGGCCAGCTGAGGGCAACTTATCGGGCAACCCGGGACTGGAGCCTCGGTTACCCAGGTCTAAAGCGCACTTATATATTCTAGGATTCATTATTAATTACTAGCTGTACGTTGTTGAACCATACTTTTTCGTAATAAATCAGTGTTCTTAGTTTAGAGCCACATATATTTTGTGTTACTCATCCATCGAGAATTATTATGCTATTATAGAAAAGGAGTTTAATTAGATTAATAACTATAGTCTTTTTGGTGCCAATACTCTGCATTACCCGCAAAGCGTTTTTCCTACCAATAGAATCTGAACAACACACAATTAATTTGTTTTGCATAAGCTTTTTTAAAACACATTTTTATTTTAATTATAGTTACAACTATTTCTCTATGCGCTTTATTACATATTGATCAGGGTGTAGAGTCGCTTTCCCCGCTGCCCGAAGTGTTCCACGCAACGAGCACGGCTTAACCGAAAACTAACTCTCATTGTTAAGGAAAATTACAAGTAGCAAGTATGTTAAAAAAAAACGATATATATATATATAGATCGAAAGAATGTGAAATCATATCCTTAGGCCTACGAAACTAATAATTGGTCCGGTTCGGCCGGCTGGGACGAGGGGGGAGGGGCGGGGGATGGATGGTGGGTTGGGTGTGCTGGATGTTCATTTTGGCTGGCGAATCCCCTAGGCGTGGGTGCTGTCGTCCTCGACAAAGTCCTTAGCCTCCTCCCTGGTCACACAATCGATGTGGCTGACCTTGTTTCGGAATCGCACGCCGTAGAACTTGTGCGCGTTCTCCAGCAATTCCGGCCGGAACGTTGTCGTGATGAACTGGGCCGTGTCGCTGAGCTCGTGGATCATGTCGGCCACCGCCTTACGATGCATTGCATCCAGGGCCTGCACAACAAAAAGAGTAAACAATTAGTAAAGGTACGCAAATAAAGGGTGCAACGTTCGCCTCACTTGATCTATCTCGTCGAACAGGTAGAAGGGAGCCGGATCGCACTTTTGGATGGAGAAGATGAGGGCCAGGGCGACGAGGGACTTCTGTCCACCGGACAACTGGTTCATCTCCCGCATCTCAGCCTCGATACCGGTGAAGGAAACCCGAATACCGATCCCTGTGAAGGCATCGGAGTTCTCCACCTCCTTCTCCATCTCCTCGCCCTCGTTGTCTTTCGTCTTCAGGATGAGATAACCCGCGCCCATGGGCACCAGCTTCTTGAACACCTTGGTGAAGTTCTGGGCCACCTGTCGGAACGTAAATTGGATGGCCTCCACCTTTTGCATTTCCAGCGACTGAATGAGCATGTGGATCTTCTGGTCGCCGATGTCCAGCTCCTCCTTGCGCCGATAGAGCTTCTCCTTCTGCTCGGAGAAACTCAGGAACTGATCCAGGGCCTTCTTGTTCACATGGTTATACTTCTTGAGATGCTGGTTGGCCTTCTCCAGTTCCTTAAAGATGTTCTTCAGCGAGATGCGGCTGTAGGCGGCATCCACCTGCGGCACGGCGCCCAGACTGGCGATTTTTTCCGTGCATTCGTCGATCTTTTCGTTGAGCATGTTCTCCTTGGTGGACCACTTCTCCAGTTGTTTGGAGTCCTTGTTTAAGTTCTCCTCAGCGTCCTTCTCCTTGCGCACATGCGTCTCCAACTCGACTTGCAGCTCCTTCTGCAGCTGCACTGCCTCCGACACCCGCTTTTCGATCTCCTCGAGATCGGAGTTGACCTTCTTGATTCTCTTTTCGGCGGAAACCAGCTCCGTCTTGCAGTTGTTAAGCTTTCGCTTGCGATCCTCCACAGAGATCTCCTGCAGCGCCTGGATAAGTTCGTCACGGCGCCTGAAGAGATTGTTGATCAGCAGGTTGTCCAGCTTGTTCTTGCGCACCTCGAACTGCATACGCTGCGTGAAGGCCTCCTTGTTCTCCTGGTTCAACCGACGGATGTCGTCGTTTAGCTGATCAATCTCCCGCTGATCCTGCGACGACAATGTGGACATCAGCTCCTGCTTGAGCTCCGCCTCCAAACTGGATTTGGTGCTAGTCATTGACTCCAAGGAGGCCTTGCATTGCGCCAGGGAGCGCTCCTTTGGGGCCCGATACTGCTCGATGCGCACCAGCTCCTCCTTCATCAGCCGGATCTCGCCCTGCACCTTTTCAAACACATCCTTCGACTTGCCCTGCTTCGTTTCCGTTTTCTGCATCTCGGACACAATCGAATTGATGTTGTTCTCGGTGGACTTGAGTTCGTTGCGCAGCTTGCCCAATTTCTTTTCGAATTCGGCGATCTGGCTGGTGTATTCCGTGCGCTTCTTTTGCATCTCCAGGCGGGAGCGTGATGTGTTGAAGTAGCCACCGGTGAGGGATCCCTTCGAGGAGACCTGATCGCCGTCCAGCGTAACGCAATCCAGCCCCGTGCTCTTGGCCAGCTCGGTGGCACGCTCCAGATTTCTGCAGATGAGCGTCTTGCCGAAGATGTACCTTAGGGCCTTGTCGTGCTGTTCGTCGTATTTCAGCTTGGAGATCATTGGTATGGAGTCGGGATCATCCGGATAATCGTGTATTTTCACCTGCAGGCGGTTCAGCGGCATGAAGGTCACCTCGCCCGGCAGCTTTAGCTTGTTCATCTCCTTGAGGATCTGGGTGCCCTCGTATTCCGACTCCACAATATGATGGAATAAACGATTGGCGGCCGTCACCTCTACGGCCGTGTAGATGGTCTTGTCGCAGCTGAAGTTCTCGATGACGGGACCGTAGTAGGCCCGTGCAATCTCCGCCGACTGGCCGCCACGTTCCTCGAAGCTGTCCAGGACCTTTCTCACCGAATCGCAGCCATTGAGGATCGGTTTGCCGGCCATGCTGCGCAGTGCTTGGTCAGCACGCGATAGCTCCTCCTTGTGCGTCTGCAGCTGCTGCGTCATCTGAGTTTCCTTGCGCCACAGCTCGTTGCGCATGGATTGGTGCTGGTCCTTGGTCTTCTTCAGCTCGTAGTACTTCTTGTTGTGCTCGTCAATCTGCAGCCGGAGTTGCTCCAGCTCCGACGAGTGCTCCTCGATTTTCTGGCCGAGATCCTTCTCGGATGTGGCGTCTTTCTTGAGATCCTCCACCAGCTTGGCATGGTGGTTGATCTTGTCACGCGTCTGTTTGCTAATGGACTTCAGCTCGTTGGTAATCCACTTGTCGCGATCCTCGCGAGACGAGAACTGCGAGCCGCGACCCTGCTTGGCGTAGAGCTCCTTGCGCTTCTGCTCCTTTAGCTGCAGCTCCCGGGAGCAGTCCTCCTCCTTGCGCTTCATCGCCTCGTACTTGGGCTTCACGTCGTCCAGTTCCTTTTCGCGCTCCGCGATCGTTACCTTGAGGTTCTTTAGTTCCTGGTCAGCCCGCTCCTTGGACTTGTTGTCGCCCTGCACTTCGTCGTTCAGGTCGACGATGGTCAGGTCCAGTTTGGTTTTCTCGCGCAGCAACTGCTGCTGCTCGGTCATCAGCACGGAGCGCTCCTCCTTCGTGCTCTGCACCTTCTTCTTGGCCTCCTTCAAGTTCTTCTGCACATCCTTGATCTTCTCCTGCGCCTTCTGGATCTCGATGTTGTAGATTTTCTTCTTGTCTGAGGAGGACTTGCGCTGCAGCTGGAGCTCGTCGAGAGCCTTCCTGGTGTCCTTCAGCTCGGTCTCGTAGCGTATGTACTCGAGGGTGCGCCGCGTCTTGTCCCACTTCTGGTACTCCTTCAGTTCCTCCTTTTCCTCCTCGAGCGTCTGCAGTCGATCCTCGATGGTCTTCAGATACTCGCTGATCTTCTCCACCTTGCTGTCGGTCTCCCGCAGCAGATTCAGTGACTCCTCCTTCCGTTCGTCGTACACTCGCGTTCCCGCGACCTCGCGCAGCAGCTTGAGGCGATAGGAATCAGCGGCCGTCGCCATCTGATTGATCTTGCCCTGCTTAACAATGTAGTAGGGATTGGAGCTAGAGAAGCCAGCCGACTCCAGCAGATTGACCACCTCATTGCGGGGCACCACCTTCTTGTTAAGGAAGTACTGATCCTTCTTGGCGCCAATCACGCGCCGCAGGAAGATCTCCTCTTTGTCGATCTGTAAAATGAGTGCACTTTTAGCGAAGGATTCGGATGATCAAGAGTTATATTATATCAAAACTATAAAGAAAGTAAGTTTAAAGCTCCCAATGTTAACTAACTTAACTATCTGGGTCCTCTGAAGGACTGTGGACATAGGGGACACTCTAACAAGGGACTACTCACTGGAACCCGGTTGTCCGAGTTGTCGAAGATGATCTCCACATAGGCGGAGATGACGCGGGCACCTGTTCCCTCGTGGAGGAGCGACTGCCGCTGCTCCGGCCGCAGGTGGGTGAACTCATCGCTCAGCACGAACTGGATGGCTGCAAAACGGATAGGTCACATTAAAGATCGGCTGGGTGTGGAGTTATCGTGCAACGTACCGTAGAAGAAGTTGCTCTTGCCGGAGCCATTGCGTCCGACCACAACGTTGTGGCGCTTGTCGAATGGTTCCACTACCGTCTGGTCCTTGTAACTCTTGAAGCCTTGTATAATAATCTGGAATTGCGGGCGGATTGTGGACTTGCGGTCTTCACTGGGTTGCGCCTGGCATGTCCACCAGTTGGACTCACCTGCTTGATGTGCATTTTATTATAGTAGACTGGGAGTTTTGCACAAAATCGCGCTCTTTTTGTTTACAACAAATACATAAAAAAAATTTGACTCTTAAATCGATTCATCGATGTTTTTTATTTTCCTCCAACATCGATAAAATGTTAACAAGACGATATATATCGCAAAATTTTAAACACAAGAGAAAACGTTTTCAAATGATTTTTTTAATGTTACACATTTGGAAACTTTAATATTATGTTATAGTAGAGATTACAGAAGCAATTAATGCACATAATAGACAATCTAATTTCACAATTCCATTGGGTCTAGATATAATATAAAATAAATTTAAGCTGTCAAAAATATAATTTAAAGCCGTCAGATTTTTTATATTAGTTAATTTAAAAATTTTAAAATATTTAACAATTTAAAATTAATTAATAAACAAAATCTTCAGTGATGTTTCCACCTCTAATAAATTAAAAGCCCACACATTATACCAAAAATATACTGAAGGAATGCGTAACAATCCTATCGCCTGGTAACTCTGAAGTACAGTCTCGATATTAATGCGGCGAACAATTTGAATAATTCCGTTTTCCCGGGGGCATTCAATGTGTACAGTACACCGAGAAAACTTGGATTTGCTTTTGCAGCAAAGCGGTTAATATAACATTCATAAAAACCTTTAAAAGATGGTGGTTATATTTAAATCTCAAGCGTAGGTTAGCAATAGGAAACCAAACATTGTAAAAAAAACTATGTTTGAGCCGATTAGTTTACATATATTCTTATATACTTATTTGCATTAACTAGGTATAAGTGAAAAAATATTTAATCATTGTATAAATTTACGAAAGCTTGCAGTACCTTAACCTTAGAGTACTCCTGTTGAGTTAAGTCTAAAATTTAACGATATCAACTTTTAATACATATTTATATTACATTTCATACTTACGATTTCTCTTAGCAGAATTTTTTTAAACTGGTTTATGTCATTGCTAAGCTAAAGAATATTCTGATTGGGGTATTTTTAGTATATTTTATGACGATAGTCATATCTATCGGACTTCGATAGACAAACATTCAGCATTGATAATTGGCGGTGGGGTCGGCTATCGATAGACGTGCTATCTCTTAAAAAAGTTTGCGATTTTTCGCTGCGCGCGTGCACTTTTTAATAATCTCCCGTGTAAATCAGATATCGCAGCGCTTTTTCTCTCGTGTGCATTTCAAACGCGCTTCGCCAACACAAAAAAAAAAACAAAGCTATACGCTTAATTCGTCGAGAGTGAAAACGAAAAGAATTTCAAGCAAAAGCAAAGCGAAAAAGCTAAGGTAAATTGCAAGCAGTCTGTTTTTTTTGTGCCATTTTATACTTCTCATCCTCCCGCACCCCGTCCGCCCCGCCCCCTTCCAATTGTGCAACACACGCACGCACACAGACGCAAATGGGAGGCTTGGAGCAGTTTGAAATCACCAACAAACACACGCACACATGCCCACACGCGCGCATATACATATACCAATATACATATGCATACATACAGCTGTATGTACATATTCCAATAAGAACGAGCCAAGACGTGAAATGTTTTTTTTTCTCGTGTGTGCATACATACATTAATTGCATTAAACGGGCCGAAAAAGGAGAAAAACAAACGCAATGTCAATGTCCGCCCATGCCCGTTTCAATTAATTTTCCTGTCGATTTTTGCCCCAAAATAACGCGAGTGCAACGGGTAAAATAACATGGTACACACCACATGTGTGTGTGTGAATATGTACATAGGCAACATTTTTTTCTCTTATTAGTCATCTTTGGTGTGTGTGTGAAGCGATGAAATTTCAGCTGAAGCTGTATATGAACGTACATCCCCTAATTTTTTTTCGTGTGCAAATCCAGCAAGAAAAAGTGAACAAATCATAACGGTAAAAGGCTGCCAAAGGCAACTGAAATGGAAATATCAGTAAAATTCAACAAGAAAACTTTCGTTGGCCTGTATGTGAGTGTGTGCAAACAAGAGATTTTCTCGGAGAGAGCAGAGCCGCACGTAAATTACGGTTCTCCTCGGCCTGCCTGCGTGTGTGTGTGTGTGTGTGGGTAAGCGGCAGGACTCCAAAGCAAAAGCAACGAAAATTTTCATGCTGTAGCAGCAGCACATAACGGTTCTTCCTTCATTTTCTTTATATATGTGTGTGTGTGTTTCTGTTTTTTTGCCCTGCTCTGCTGCTGCGCAGTCGCTGTCGACGTCGCACACAGAAAGAAAAAAATTGATCTATGGTGATAAATTGAAAGATTTTAACATCATTGTAGACAGTCACATTTTCATTTCAAATGTAAAAAATATAATAAGGACCTTTTAAATTGGATGATAAAATATTGTCTTGGAAAAAAAAAAAGTTTCTTTGCGCAAGAGTAGGATTTGAACCCGCGCTTTTATTTACCAATAACATTCTTTACCCTCTAGCTTTGAATAATTAAAAAAAATATTTTTATTAACACTTAAATGATATTAAGAATGGTAATGTCTAAGTAAATTTGTTATCCTGTTTTGGTATCGAACCGTTTTTTTTTCCTGTACGGCGCTTTGAAATTTGTTTGTCCAATTTGGCACTCTCTCCATCGCTCTCTGCTGCCAGCTCTCTCTTCTTCTCTCTTTCGCCTCCTTGCGATTTGTTGTCCTTCGACTCCTGAGCTCTCAACTCCAGGGACATGCCACAAGGTTCCACTGTGCGCGTGTTTTCTTTCCGAGAGCTCAGACCCAAGGTCCCTGGCTCATCTCGTCACTTTTGCTCCTCCCCCAAACCCAAAGCATTTTCACCGCCGCTGCATTCCTGCATTCCTTTTTATATTCCTCCACTCCTCTCAAGCTGTTTAAGTTCCCACGAGGAGCGGCCAGGAGGTGACAAGTGACGAGCTTGTGCCGGGGACTGCTGCAATTCATTACTAATTGCGTGGAGTCCCATGCAATTATCAAATAATTGCGCCATCGACGTTCCAAACGGTTCACGTTCCGCCATTCCAAATTCCCATCCCATACCCCCCTAATAATGTGGGGGCAAACAACTGTCGCCAATATGTGAGTAGGAATCAATAACAGTGCGTTTATGCGCCCTTAAATTCTAAAATGTTGAAAAGCCCTTACTGGCAGCTTTTAGGATCAATTCTTTAAAAATTCATTAAAAAAACATCTGCTAAAACCTAATAACACAAAAACAATCGGATGGCCCCAGACTTAATATTTTTTTATACCCTTGCAGAGGGTATTATAATTTTGGTCAAAAGTGTGCAACGCAGTGAAGGAGACATCTCCGACCCTATAAAGTATATATATTCTTGATCAGGATCACCTCCTGAGTTGATATAGCCATGTCCGTCTGTCCGTCTGTCCGTCTGTCCGTCTGTCTGTTTCTACGCAAACTAGTCTCTCAGTTTTAAAGCTATCGGATTGAAACTTTGCACACACCCTTCTTTCCTTTGCACGCAGTATATAAGTCGGAACGGCCGGGATCGGCCGACTATATCCTATAGCTGCCATATAACTGATTGATCGGAAATGCCATAACTTCCGTGTTTGTAAAGTTAGGAAGTTGGGATTTTCTATGGGTTTTATATTTGGCCAATCAATCCGACCTACCAAATTTCATAAGGATCGGCCGACTATATCCTATAGCTGCCATATAACTGATTGATCGGAAATGCCATAACTTTGGTGTTTGTAAAGTTAGAAAGTTGGGATTTTCTATGGGTTTTATATTTGGCCAATCAATCCGACCTACCAAATTTCATAAGGATCGGCCGACTATATCCTATAGCTGCCATATAACTGATTGATCGGAAATGCCATAACTTCCGTGTTTGTAAAGTTAGGAAGTTGGGATTTTCTATGGGTTTTATATTTGGCCAATCAATCCGACCTACCAAATTTCATAAGGATCGGCCGACTATATCCTATAGCTGCCATATAACTGATTGATCGGAAATGCCATAACTTTGGTGTTTGTAAAGTTAGAAAGTTGGGATTTTCTATGGGTTTTATATTTGGCCAATCAATCCGACCCACCAAATTTCATAAGGATCGGCCGACTATATCCTATAGCTGCCATATAACTGATTGATCGGAAATGCCATAACTTTGGTGTTTGTTAAGTTAGGAAGTTGGGATTTTCTATGGATTTTATTTTTGGCCAATCAATCCTACCTACCAAATTTCATAAGGATCGGCCGACTATATCCTATAGCTGCCATATAACTGATTGATCGGAAATGCCATAACTTTTGTGTTTGTAAAGTTAGGAAGTTGGGATTTTCTATGGATTTTATTTTTGGCCAATCAATCCGACCTATCAAATTTCATAAGGATCGGCCGACTATATCCTATAGCTGCCATATAACTGAACGATTGGAAATGCCATAACTTTGTTGTTGTTAAAGTTAGGAAGTTCGGATTTTTTATGAGTATTAAGAATGCATCATATGAATAATTTTGGAGAATGTAATTTACAGAGTATTCTGCAAGGGTATATCAACTTCGGCTCCGCCCGAAGTTAGCTTTCCTTTCTTGTTAAACATAATTTTTAATATAATTAATCATTAACAGGCTAGAGTATAAAGCCGGGGCCAAGTACCCACAGATTAAAGATTTGTATAGCATGAACACAGTTTGTATCCTAGCAATATTTCAAGAATTTCTTTAGATCTCCAATGACTATTTAAATGTTTAGAACATTGAATATTAATGCCATACCCGTGTTTTTCAATCGATTGTTTTTAATTGAACAGGTGCTTCTATTAAAGTCGGTGAGGGCTGTTTTTGTCTAAATTCCTGAACGCGGCATAAACATTACGGTAATTTGAACGTAATTTTCAAAGCAGTGGGTGGTGGAATGTGTGGTTGGTCGGAGTGCTTTGTTTCGAACTAGAGTTCCGGCTGTGTCATTTTAAAATGCACTAGACCCGGCCCTATTGAGTAATCTCCCGTCTCCCATCGCGATTTGAATGATTACCTATGCAAATATGCAGTTTGACAGCTTAACGGCAAACTGTGTGCGCTAATTACAGGTATAAACCTTAGCTGGTGTAAACTTTAGGCTATGCAATTCGCGGATGAAGTTGGCATGTAAATTTCTTAGCAAAGACATTTTTTCTAACAATTAGCTGGTCGACAATTGCTTAAAGTGCCAACACGATATCGAGAGGCTGCGTGGGAGGCAATAAGAAATGACTCACGCAAATGGCCGAAAGGCACTGCCACAGCCAGACAATACAATTCGAAAAACGAGAAAAAGAATATAAAATAAAAATAAATAACAAACTACATAGAATAGAAATTGAATAGTAAAGCACCCGCCAACACAGAATTTCAAAGCAGACCACTGCGATGCGATGCGATGCGAAGAGCAAACACAAAAGATGGTCGGTGTGTTTCTGGCTTTTCGTACACATAAATTGCGCTAATAATAGCAAATGAAACTATTAGAAGTACAGAGAGTTTCGCCCGAGTTTTAGCCACGCAAAAATAGGAACAAGAACAAAACAACAGCCAAATGCTTAAAAAAAGGCCATAGAACTGGGTGGAAATCTTCCGTGAACGTATAAAATAAAAAGTCGAATCAGATGCACTACATATACAATAGTAAAAAATTTACGAACGGAAGAAAAGGTTGTCATTTAAACTACGGTCCAATAAAAATCCAAAGAAAATTTAACGTCAGTACTTAAAATTTTATTGAATTGTATTTTAATAAAGCTAATTTATGCACCAAACTTCATTTTCTAAATTTATTTGTCAAAGTTCAGAAAGTATTTCAACATACCATCTCCAAATCAAAATTGACTATTAAAAATCTTTATACCCTACAAGAAGTTTCCACACACGTACACATATGAAATTTAAAAGGAAATAAATTGAATTTGACATCCATTCCATTTATGAATAAGCTTTAAAACGTATTTTTAGAATGCATACACAAAATCAATTTAACCCAGATGCATTTTAACATAAATAGAAACAGAATTTAAGAGCAATTGTTGAATAAAAGTCTCAAAATAATTAAGACATGATAAAACAAATACTAGTAGTACCCCACTATGCAGATTTCGTTAGTAAAATGAATAAAGAAAACATTTGTTTTGATTCACGTTATTAACGAAATTTAAGGTATTTTTCAGACATTCATGCCTTTAAATTCTATAATTTAAAAATCACTCTTGATAAAATTTAAAAATGATTCAAAATAATATAGTAATTCATTGATGATGTTTTTGCTGTTTCGCTATTAAAATGGACTAGGGGTAAAAGATATGTTGACCTGGAGTGCATGAACGAATACCG